ATTAGTCTTATTTTTTCATCACTCTTGTTTCAGACAGTTTTATGTGGGTTCCAAACTCCCAGACTGTCTTCAGCTGTAATCCAGCTAACTGCTAGGCTTTCATAATATTAGCCGATGGTATACAATCTTCTTCACGCATTTAAATCTGAGCACAGCCCTGCAGAGCTTTCAGGCTTCAGCAGTCAATAAAAAGTGAAATCTCCATCTCTTTCAAACAGAGAGGCTGCTGTTAAAACATCCACCTCACACAGACCACAAATCAAGTCGACAAAGCATTATCTAAAACCCATTAAACCTTTACCTCTCAGATCCTGTTACACAGGATTGTTCCAGGTTCACTTTTTAAATTATATTAACAAAAGTATTCAATTCTTCTCACAAACGTCTGCATTCTATGCATACACATCTTATCAGCTGGGTTGCAATCAGTTATTCGCCACCCAATTTTATAGATAAGAAACTCATTTTAAAGAAAATGAAATAAGTTAACTCTTTAAAAAGGAAAATCAGAATCCCTAATTATTTTTCTCCCTGTAATCCCTGATCAGGATCTGCCAATGCTTAATCAACTCTTTTCTTCTAACGGTTAATTAAAAGTTCGGCGAATTCTCCACTGACAGCATTGCAAATTCACAGACAGCTGGCATATCATTGGGGTTCCTTAAGCTTTGAAAACACTAGACACTCTGAAAACAATATACTTGGGTCAACACTAGACCACCCAACTACACAGACAGTCAACTATGCGCTACTGAGAATCCTGCTCTAAAACAATTTAGGACAAAACCCAACTGAACTCGCAACATCTGAAAACCTGGATCTCCAGTTGTTTACTGGTAAAACTGCATGGGGACCCTAAACTCCAGTTTCTTTTGCTGTGGGAAGGTTTGTTTATCTCCTATCTGAGATTAAAGCACTTGGCAATCAGTGGCTTATTTCACTTTTAAACCAAGTGAATGGCTAACTTTTAAACGTTAGCCATTCAAAATCCATTTAATTCAGCTTTTGTCAGCCGAGCTCACTGCGACATTCTCAGAGCCTCTTTTTTTCAAAACATTTAACACACAGTTCTAATTGTGAAAACCTATGTGTTCATACTGTAAATGTTATACTTATAGTCCAAAATCTTTTTTATAGCCAGTTTATAAAAAGCAGCTCTAGACCCTGGAGCAGGGCGGCCCGGAGCTGGAGCTGGGGTTCCTGATCAGCTCCGGAGCCAGACTGGAGCTGAAGCTGACCTGCGGGAAGCTGCTGGGGAGTCAGATCCAGCAGATCTGGAGTAATGCCAACCTTATTCCTAATCACATCCACTGAACATGGAACATTGTCTTGTCTGCTTCAGGATACTGCATATATTTGTTCTTACTGGAAACTTCTCCAGACTGAAAGCAAGACGGTTTTTAAAAGATGGCTATAAACCATTTTATCCATATTATTGAACAAGAAACAAAGACTTCGAAAATAAACACTTTTTGGAAAAGATAAGCAACTTTTCTTCCCTAGTGAGGTCCTACTTGTGCTGGGCATATACCAAATTAATGTAAGACAACTTTTAATGTTTTACATAATAATTGTACTGTCATTGCCAAATCTGTTCTTGCAATGTGGAAGAAATCCATTCCAGATGCCTAAGTATCTATGAGGATAATAAGCCTTATCAAAGATTAAATTTAAGAAGTGGAAATGTAAGAAGATGTAAGGTAATGTTATTTCCATTTGGCATGCCTAGTAATTACCTATCCCTATGGGCCAGCAGGCCATTACCGTATCTATATTTAAGCACCACAGATTTTCTAAAAACAAACTTGGAGGTGTTATCATTAATTTAAATGCATGAACGGGAATAGATCTGAGAAATCCCTTGGATACTAAAATGACTCAAGAACAACAGAGAAGGGATCAAAGAGCAAATGGAAAATATGACAAGACAGAAGAAATTCTTCAGGACACACATTTTCACGGTTTCAGGCTGAAAATATGAGGCTTAAGATGATCAAACAGCACATTACTCAGAATCCGTTTAAACATGCCTGAATTTGTCTATATATGACAGCTGCTGTGCTCTAAAGCCTAACATACAAGAGTATGATATAATAATGTATATATACTGATAAGTAGGCACGGTCTGAGCAATATTGACATCTTACAACAGACAGGCTAACCTAGAAGATATATAAATAACGTCATTTTATTACCTCACAAAATGAGTGGGCACCGATATCTGCCAGTTAAACTATGTCTTGAAATTGTTCATGTCTGTACTTTCACTACCACCAATAGCATTACTTTGATGTATAACGAACTGCCGGGGATGCCGAAGACCTCGATGAGGTTTCAAACGTTCTGGTAGAGGGTGAAGGGCTATGAGAACTTCCTTGGTTATGGGGAAAACAAGAACCTCACAGAGTTTAGAGCACAACTCAGTAAAAATCCTGGCACTGACCCACCTGAGCCTGTAAAACACAGCTGATCTACTGGGATTAAAAACTCTTCTTTTAAAAGGCTATGCTTTCTCCTGTAGAATCTTCACACTAACGCGTTTGAAAAACGACCATGCTCTGGTGGGCACGGTGCTCAGCGGTGCAGTGGTTAACGCCGCTGCCTTGCAGAGCTCCATGCAGGGCACACTCTGGGTGGGATGCCAGCCCATTGCAGAGCAGACACACAGGCAGACAGACACGCACACACTCGCACCAAGGGACACTTTTCTCAGAAGCCAATTAATCTACAGGTACCAGTATGTCTCTGGACTGCAGGAAGAAACCAGGGCACCAGGAGGAAACCCACACAAACCCAGTGAGAACATACAAACGCCATGCAGACAGCACCCCAGGTCTGGAAATGCACCCCAAGCCCCGACGCCGTGAGGTAGCAATACTCCCCACTGCCACCCTACCCACTCTGCTGCCACCTAATGGGAATTACATTTTTCTTAATCAATTTTTACTTACTAAGGACATCCCTGTCCTTAAATGAGGAGTCAGTGTATCCTGAGAGGAAAGTATTCATAACGTAAACAATACTCGTAAACCGAATTCAGATTCCCAAATTCCACAATTGTTAATTTATGACTACCTCAAATGACATTCATGTTTTGATGGAGCTTTAGTGCCAAATGAATGACGATGTGGTTTGCGTCTCAATTTTCTGTGAAAACATTGTCGCTGATCACCGGGAGAACAGAGAGTACCTAAAGACAAAATTAGCAACCCAGTTTCTAACAGATAATCCTGTTAAAGCTCTCTAGTCTCCTGCAAAAGTTAAAAACCAAATTAAAAAAAAAAACATTTTTAAACAAGGAATGAGAATGAAGTAAAGGGTTTGTGAGGTAATGACTGGAAATGTCTAGATGATGCAAGGGAAATGGCAGATGCAATAAAAATTTTCACTCAGGGGTTTTCCAAGGAAGAAATCAACAAGAGTGCTGTATTAAATAATATCAGCAAAGAGGCGCAAGTGTTACATGTGCTGGAAAACCCAAGATTCCCAGGGCCTGGTATTGTACTATGGATTTGTAAGCACTGTAGAAGCAGCAAAGAAATTTAAAAAGGACTTTGACAAAATTCAAGACTGGGTAAAACCCAGCCAGATGACATTTATCGTAGACAAGAGCAAAGTACAGTATATAAAATGTGAATCACTGAGCTTTAAAAAAGGTACACATGAGAAAAGTGTAGGTGTTTATGTTGAAAGCGACAAAAAAGATAAAATAGAATGTCAGGGCATATATCTTAAAGTTTCAAATTTCCATCATGAATTTCAAGTGATGCTATGTTAAGATATACATTTACATAGCACAATACATTAGAAGGACCTAATTTAGAATAGTGTCCCCACATCACAAAGAAACATTCCTCCTCTGAAATTCTTTCAGATGCAACCTGCTAGATTTCCTATTTAAAGAAATGCTCTGATTTAACGGCCTAAAATAATGGAACCTTTATGGTTTTGAAAAGAGAAAATAAAAAGAAGAGCTGTTTCAAACACAGCATTCAAAATGCTCAAATGTGCTGATCAAATTAACCTAAAAGTATTCTGCAGAATCAACAGCGAAGCATGAAGCAGAAAACACAAACGGAAACTAAGGGGATAGCTTTTAAAACTGGTAACAGGAGGAATGTTTTTTTTAAGCAGGAGGGTTGCAGGATTAGCCCCTATCATATCGAATACCCCAGTTTCTTTCAAGGAACCAGATGGATGAGATCTTTGCATCACACACAGCAACTAGGAACCAAAACAATCTCAAATCGGTCAAATGTCGAAGAGCTCAACTGATGTTCTTCCGCCGAAAAAACAAGCGTTGATGTTTACCAACTGCAGATTATTTTTTCTGGGGGGGGGGGAAGGAATACTGAAAATAAAACAAATTGAAAGTTTCCAAGTGTAAACACAGAACAGCTGCTGATAAACTGTGAACATAGTTCACAGATGGTAATAATTCTTCTGCCACTGTATGAGAAACTAGACGGCAGTGTGTACTTATGAAACAGTTGAGTTTGAACAGGATTTGTGCTTTCAGGGATTTTGGAGCCAAACGTCTGGAGTAATACTTTTGGAAGTATACAAAAAAAAAGCTTATGGGCAATACTGAAGGATTTCTGTTCTACTCTGTGAAAATACAGAAAGGGGAAAGAATTCATGGCTATTTTATTATGTAATGCATTTTCCCACTCTATGTTGTTTTCCTTAATCTTAACAATCTGACATTTCTGGCAATAAATTAAAACTACACAAGGGATTATGTATAATCATTCCCACATAAAATCATTCATAATTTGAAATGGGTGGGGAAATCATAATAAAATATTGCATGTGGACTGAGAGAGATCATGAAGCATCCTGAGATTAGAAGCTTGTTTTGTAATAGTTTGACCTTTTTACTGTTGATGTGTTACTACCATTATAAAACACTTTGCAAGGTGCTATACAGTTTATAAACAATAACAATGAAAACCTGAAGCCCAGTTAGCAGCCATCCCTTAAATTCTGCACCACCTCACCTGTCCCACAGGTGGCGCTGCACTCAGTCCAGGAGCCATACTGCCAGAAGAAGTCTGGGGTGGCGATTTCGTTGTTGGTTTCGGCCTCCCGCTGGATGGTGTACTCATATCGCACACCAGGGTTTGTCTCCTGGAACAGCAACTGCAAAACAGCAACATGTTCCAATGAGTTACATAAGCCATTCAACTGAATTTCACACAAAAAAAACCACAAAACATACGCCCTGCACATGCAATTTGAAGAAATATTTTTCCCCTAGTTACCTATTTGAAATAGTATTTAAAATAAAGCTTTCATCTATTTTTTTAACAGGAGAAAAATTCTTTATATATTTTTTAATTATGTCAGAACCTGGGAGAATTCAGGAATCGTGATTTATTTATATTACAGTCTTTTTAAAATATAAAGATTACAACAATTTTCAGAGCATCATGCTTTGTTCACTTCCTGTAGTGTCAAACAATCAAGATGGAACTGCTTGTCTACTCCTGGGGTATACAATCACACAAATTAAAGTTTCTCCAGCCACCCACTGGCTATGTGTCTTCAGACTGCAGAAACCCTGGTTAATATCAGAGACAGTCACGGTATCAACAGGAAGAGAGAAACAGAGGGAGGCAGTAAGCAAGCAGAGGATGAGCAAACAAGGAGGTGAGGCTCAAGAACTAGTTTTGAAAAAAAACATGTTGCATGGATTCAGGATTTACAGTCAGCAGGGATTGAAAACTTTATCACTTTTTTAAAAATAGCAGGCTCTAATGAACTCTTAATTCCCTTTTTGTTGAATTTGCTCCCGGGGTTATCTGCAGGGGAGGTTCCAGGCCGAGGCTGTCTCTGAGCTGGGTGAGATTTCTCCAGGAGGATGTTTGCTTTGGGGAGGAGGGCGGGGGTGCAGCGATGTGTAATATCCTACCCTGTGACACATGGAGCCGCGTGGGAAAGCAGTCCTGAGCCCTGGAAGAGACTGCTACTCCAGGGGCAATGTCTTCACAGCATCTGGACACCTGAACTAATCTGTGTGGGCTGGACAAAGCTCCTGCAGATGAATTTCCTCCAAAAGGGCCCTTTCTGCCTGAAAGCTGGCAGCTTGTTTCGCCTTGTATTGTATGGCAGCTGAGATGGTAAGTCGTGGAAAGCAAGCCAGGGAATACAAGGTGTAAAAGGGCCCCTTAACTCTCAAATATCAGGTTGGCTAACCTGAACACTAGGGCGCCTGAGAAATGTATCGGTCACACTGGAGGAAGACTCCTTTCAGGTTGTCAAACAGTGCAGAGGAAGAGTGGCAGAGCTGAAAAGCAGCCAGGAGAGTGCATTTCGCTCGCAGCTGTCGTGCAGTAGCTTACAACTGGAACAGAGCAATCTATTTTACCGATGTTTGCACAAATCATTTATAAAACCCCGCGCTGAGTCTGACAGCTGTTGGACTAACTGCGCAGTCACATTTAGCGAAGCTGTCAGATTCAGTGGATTACTGAATATCTAGAAAGCACTTGACTATATTTTATTTTTACCACATAAAACTTGCTCAACCTTCCGAACCAAAGTCACCTCAACTTTGTCTGACCCACTTTGGAAATAGGTTTTTCTTTGCTTCCCTTTGAGAGGCATCCTTCAAAAAGTGACTAGAGAAGATTTTCAGATCGATTCGCTATCGCCACTCAAACGAGCAAGACAGGTCACATGGATTCCCGGAGCTTTCAGCCCTTCTGACATTCTTCTGTTCCTGCACATAACACCTTAGCGTTATCCGTAGTGGTACATACTGATGCACAGACCACCGTCACACTTACTTTTGGCAAAAGGCAGAAATTACGCCTTGCAGCACAGAGTCTTCTACACATTTACAGATGCAAAGATTGAGAAAGACATGAGGTGCATATAAATCATTTAATATTTGTTTTCCAAGTGTAATGGTACCAATTGGCATATGCAGTGCCTGACTGACGTGTTGCTGATTCTCTTGCAGTGCCAGATGAATCACGGATCATCTTTAATGCTCAAAGAAAGCGTGTTGCACCACAGCAATGCCAAAACACAATCAAACAGAACCAGGGCAGGGGAAATCTGAAGCCTGTGCAGCTCTGCTCCGATAGCTGGCTAGCTAAACAACCTTGATTTCCGTGAACCGCTGCCAATCACTAACTCATCATCAGAGCTAGAGGGAACTGTGCCCACACTCGGCTTGTTTGTTGTTCAGATAAAGCCATGTGTTTGTATAAGCACTCATACCTTGCTGCTCATTACACTTCAGAATATTGAGTGATGTTGAAAAACTGACATGGCCGCACTTGCACATGCAGTAGCTGAAGCCCTAGGCACCAGGTCTGTGGGGGCTGTGTGTGCTCAAGCACCCTCGGTGCCTTCAATCATGGCATTGTTAAAGCATGGGTGAACGCATTTTTACTTTGTTTGACTTTGGGACATCACCATAGGATTGTGCAATCACAGTACTAATTAACTATTATGTGTTGTTCCGGATCCTGTAATCAATTGCACGTGATTTATTTAATGCCGATTTGTCTGATTTGTTTCATTTAGCGACCTATCATATCGGATCATTATCATGAGTAACTGGAATGGGATCTGAAAAAGCATATTTCATTTTGTAAGTTGGAAAAACAGATTTTTGCACTGCAACACATCCTACAAGATCATGAACAAGAAAAGGTGTGTGTGATAATGTAAATGTAAAAAAAGCAAACAAATTCTTTTGATGCCACATATTCATTGAGATTCTGTTTCACTGGACATTGAAGATTCTGTAAATAACACAAAGGAACATGTCCTCCTTCACTGAAAAACACAACACCTGACTATTTCTTACCATTTAGGAAGTTAATGGTAAAGGATAGAGAAATGTGAATTTTAATTAGCTTTATTAATGCGAGTATATTTGAAGCAGAGCAACCTCAATAATTCTTAAGGTTGCTGCTGATGGCAATAAATCAAGTGATGAGCTTGGAAACAAAAAGCTCTGCAAAACCAGCCCTACAAAAAAAAAACAAGTTTGACATGAGATGAAAAATAACTAAGTGAAGTCAATGCTGTGTGGTTCAGTTGTTCTTAAAAAAACTGAGACCCTTTGTTGGATGGAAAGCCAAGAGACTTGGGTGCAAGGAAATCACAGTGGGCAATGCTCATGAGAAACTTTCTTGAGGGGGAGGTTTTCTGCTTTTCAAGCACTCTTCAAAAGAGATGGCGTGTCCCCATGAGGATAATGCCTGCTCAGAGGTCAACAGTGGAAGAGAAATAAGTCGGATGTAATTGTTTTCCCTGTAGATACATCTAACATTTTTTTCTAAATTTGCTTTTTTGTCAAAATTACACTTAAGACAGTTTCCCTGCTGTACGTAGCTTTTAGTGCACAGCAGAGGACACATTACCAAGATAACAAATTGACAGAATGCTGGATCCGAAGCACGTGCCTTAAGAAATTGCAGCATTATCCTGCAGCTTGCTTCAGCTTCATTGTCAGTCAAATAAACACAGCAGCAAGGAGCTACATTTTCATGTGCTGCTATTTTGCTCATTTTCTTTAAATGAACGGGTGCCAGGCGGATATTCCCAGCCATGCTTAATAAGCTTGATTCACTTAGTTGTAGTTAATGGAAAAATAAGTCTCCAAAGCTAAAGAAACAAAAGCAAATATTTAAACAACTCAAAGGGACTTTCAACCAGAGCCCTAAAACATTTATGGAAAACTTGCCTTGTTGTGTGGAAAAACAGGTGTAAACTTTGCTCGGGGAAAAATGCTGCACTGCTCTTAACATTGTCTTTCCCAGCGGCCCTATAAACCTCCGCCTTTCTGACTCCTCCCAGACTGGACTCAACATAGACAAGCCTCCACAAGTCCGTTTTTTTCCCCAGTTAAAAAATTGCAAGTAACTTTGCTACTGTCTGATAGGACTGGACATTATAACTAGCACCACTCCCTCAGAGCATGGCCTCAAGACTTGGGTTCAATTCAAGACTTGGGTTCAAAGATGGAATTTGTATGATCTCCATGTATTGGTGTGGATTTCCTCCAGGTGGTCTGGTTTCCTCCCACAGTCCCAAGACATATTGTGGGCGAACTGGCTTCCTGGAAAATTGGCCCTGGTGTGAGTGTGTCTGTGGCTGTGTGTGCCCTGTGTTGGAATGGCATCCTTGTGCCACTAATTTGCTGGGATACGCTCCATCTCCCCCACGATCATGTCAGGAATAAAGCGGTTAGAAAAAGGATGGATTAATCAATAGATTGTCCTGCTCCAGCTTTCCAGTCCAGTCTCTAATTAGTTCCAACTGAAAAAGAGCCCAGAACTACCGGCCACGCTGATGTGCAGGGAGACTGACATGCCCCCCAGACAGAGCAAGAGGGAGCACAAGAAGGATGGATAATTCAGACTGTCCTCTCTTAGAGGGCCTGTCAGTGCAGGTACAGCTCTGCTGGGCTCTCCCTCAAACCAGTTTACACCTACAAGGACTACAGAGGCTCGCCAGAACTCTTTCAGGGGCTTTAAAAACTAAAAAGAAGTTTCCTACATATTGCAAGGTGTCTATGATAAAGGCTGTCATGGTCAAATGAGAAACAAATAGTGGAATTTTCCATAGAGCAGGTTTGCACAAATAATGTTGATATCAGCTTTCTCTGAAGAATGTCTTTATCAGCCCTCTCATGACCAAGCTAGCGAATACACACACTCACAAGGCACAAACAGAGATGACTTCTCCGGTCTGGGTTCAGAGTTTTGTCCCAGTTGCATTATGCTGGATGTAAATAAGGCAAGGCGCTGCTTATATGTTGTGAAATCCTTTCCAACAAACACCGCTTCTTGTGTTAGTATTGTTTTAGAGGACAAAAGGCATAAGGCCGAATTTCTCAGCTATCGACAGACAAAAAAGCATCAACAATAAAGGTGCGATGGAGGAGGGAGGGGAGGCAGTTGCTTTCTCATAATCACAAAAATTTCAAAATTCTCGATTCTGCTGGGGAAACGTCCAGAGTAAATATGCCCACTCAAAACTGAATGTCTCACTCTATGAGCGAGACGAAGATAATACAGACCGAGACACACTCAAGTCAATATTTTATATGTGAGAGATAAACAGCACTACTGGAATGTATTGAACAACTAGGGGCATAAAATATTGTTGAAAACTCACACAAATGCCTGATGTCACGTCTTTATTCGATGGGACGTGTAGCCCCTTTTTGCACAGCACCAGGCAGCTACACATACAGTCACTAATAGGGAATGAGAGCTGGGATTAGACGGTCTTGAAACAGGTTAGTTTTACCCTGCTGGTGATGTGTTGCTGCAGTAGTAATCCTGCTCAGTACGAGAGGAACCACGGGCTCAGACGCCTGGTGCATGTGTTTGGCTGAGGAGCCTCTGGTGCGAAGCTACCGTCTGTGGGATTATGTCTGTGGGATTATGACTGAACGCCTCTAAATCAGAATCACCCCTAACTGCTCCTGTCTAACGAGAACACCTGGATCAGCTTGTGTTCTACATTATCAGATCTTTTACTTCACAGCCCCCAGTCTGGAGGAAACAAACAGAGGGATTATTATTAGTGTGTAGAGGGCGACCTCCTCTACACTTCCAGATACAGAAAGACAATTCATCATTCCCACTATCATTAAGAGCTGTTAGCTGAATGGCTATCTGTCTATTGTGGGAAGGAGCCCTTTGTCTCTTTTCTAGCTTGGCTAGGTAATTAATGATCCCATTGCAGCTTTTATGTGGTTCACGCTTCAAATGTATGATGCATTTGCAGACCTTTTTAACAAGTCTCTTTCCAGAATTAAGAGGTGTACTCAGTGTCTACTCAGTTTGCTCCCATTCTTCTCTTGACTGTACTGATTAACACAGCCATACAACCTTCATCCTGGTGAAGAAATCTGACAGGATCAGGGCAGGAAGTGCAGGTATTAGGTTGTGATACTTTACTTCAGGTTAGATGAAATGGGAAGATCTAGCAGAAGTCTAACTTCTGTTGTACTGTCCAACAAGTCCTGCTCCTTTAGCAAAGCTAATCTTACTTATTTGAATTTATTTTTGTAGGCTATGCAGCTGCATACATAATCATTTCAATCACGATGATGCCTTAAGTTAGTGACACGATACAGTTAATAAAGAGAACATGATATGATATACATGTATCAAATGAAGAAAGTCTCTACTGCATTAATTCTTCAATGCTCCTGAAATGGCCCTTCTTTCAGCCGTTCAGAGATGCTGTGCTTTACTGCGGCAGCTTGAAAAGAAACACGAAGGGAACTGCAGCTGCATGACTCCACAGGGCACTGTGCCTCACGGCTTTCAGAGACTGTTTCAGCTTTGAGGCTTTTAAGGTCCCTCCATCTGAAGCTTTTTGCAATACCAGAACGTCAATTTTTTTTCCATCTTTCCTCTTGCTCTGATGTGTGGCTCAAACAAGAAACTATTGTTCGGAAAAAATACAATCCCATTTCGCGCAGCCTTGGAATCGTTTGTTAAGAATAAAGCCTTCAAAAAAAAGAATATTGTAAGAAGCACGGGTACTAATGCCCAAAGCATGAGCTCAGAATGAATGGAAAAAAATTAAAATATTGCAACGTCTGTAACACCTGCATGTTCATCTCATCTTAACTCCAGTAATTGATTCAACATCTTCTATTGAATAAGCACAAAACTCTTGTCCTGACTACCTGTATCCAGACAGGCTCCAGTGTTGGTCCTGGGGAGGTCAGGTTCTCTAGGTTCCCTGTCCTCTCGTACGTGAAGGTTGTCCCCGCAGCCTTGTAGTCTCCATTCCACTGGATCGTCCAGCCCCCGTTCAGGAAGTACCTGTCAGGGTCTTCGCTGCGCAGAGCCAGGAAGTTCCCTGCCTCCGCCACTTCCTCGATCCGGATGTCCCTCGCTCCCTCTGGGATCAAGCCGACATCCACGTAGCCTGAGCAAGAGAGTGAGAGGGACAGACTCAGAGAGGAAGAGAGCAAATCAGCTGGACGTGTGCAACGTGAGAGAGGGAGAGAGACATGAGAAACAAATGAAACAAAGACTCTGACAGTGAGAGAAAGGCAGTGCCGGTTTGTTTGAAACAGACTTACATTTCTTTCTGGGTTATGTAGAGGTGAGATTCAGAACACTTTGGAATTTTTCACTCTTACCCAACGGCTCAAGAGCTTCAAAAGGCATCGCTTAAGATAAAGGTTTTAGAAACTCATTCTTTTTTCGTGCGCCATTGACTCGATCTACACGAGAGTAGAATCCATTTTGAAGACGCAGAGGAACGGGCCATGAAAGAGCCCCAAACATGGCTTTGCTTTCCTCTGCTAGAACTTTGAGCTGCTCAAGTGCATCCCGTGCATGTCTACAGCTAACACAAACTACTTCATAGTTCTGGTTGCTGGGCATCTCCCAGCCAGAACTACAATAAATAAGAAGGCTTTGAGGAAGGATGGCCAACAGCACTACTGGGAATTCTAGGAAGTGACATCTCCATAAAACTTCCTCCCTGTGAGACCAGCTACCCTGTTTCACGCCCATCTCTCCATGCCGCTGTAATCTATATGCCCCCCCCTCCCCTGTCCCACAATGCCACGTGCTGCCATACCCAGCCCCTCGCTCTCCTCGAACGTCTTCTTCACCGTCTCGCAGGTGGAGCCGTTGCCATGGCAAACCCCACACCGATCCTCCACCGCATTGGAGTCGATCTCGTAGTCGCAGCCCACGTTCTGAAGCGCCCAGCAAGAGAAGAGGATCAACGGGTTCTCACCTACCACAGCTACAAATCACTGTGACGGCGCCTAAGAATTTTGCTTGATTTACTTTAGGGTGTTGCTGTCTGTCTAGTATTATGTTTTGAGGAAATGAAGCTGTATTACACTTCTCAGGTCAGGCAGATGACCGCTCCTGTTTATGTGACCTGAGATAGGAATTTTGATATCTTCCCCTCTCAGTTCATATTCAGTTCATTTTCATAAGTGGTCTCCAAGTACAATACTGTATTTGGCCTATACCCAAAGTTAATTAAAACAGAAGATAAAAATATTGTAAAGAATGTGTAAATATTTAAAAGGACAAGGAAAAGACTAAACATGCAAAGACTGTCATTAAAAACACCTAAAACTGAAGTCAAACCCATGTTTCAATGAACTGGTAGCTGTACCACATAGTGGTGGAGAGCCATTAAACCTACTCTTCTCTCTGCAGCAAAAGTCTAAACATTTATTAAATAACCAAGGGCTGTATATTTATGAGGTATCTGAAACCTGAAAACAGATTGTGTGTTTATAGAGCAAGATAATTCCTGAGTTAAGTTTATTTTTTTAAGAAATCATCCAAACATTAAAAAACACCTAAAGATGTTCAAATATTAACTTAATACTGTGGAATTCAGGTAATAAATATTTATGTTTTTACCACGTAAATGACAAACACCATCTACTAAACACAGATGAACACTTCGTGCATATGCATATGACAAACCATGGTGGAGTACAGACATCTGTATTTACTCTGAAGGAATCTGGAACTCTTAGATACTAAGAAGTAAACACCATTTAAGATAACAGTAATATAAAAGCATCCTCCCATCAATAACAGCCATCTGCTAGGATACCGTGCCAGGATTTTTTTGCTCTCAATATATGTTTGAAGTAGCCTCCCTGGATAGCACAAGCTCGTTTATTTCCTGATGCACTGTTGTGTATTCAACATCAAGGCACCATGAGGATGAAGGCTTTTTCATCTTTTCACCCCCTGTGTCTGGATGCAGGTGAGGACAGCACGGTGGCGCAGTGGTCAGCTCTTGCAGCTCAGGTGCCCAGGGTTCAATTCTGTTGTGCTATCTGTTTGGAATTTCTTGTGTTCTCCCCGCGTTTGCGTGGGTTTCCTGTGGGTGCTCCAGTTTCCTCCCACAGTCCAAAAACATACCCGTTAGCTGGCGTCTGGGCAAAATGGCCCTAGTGTGACCATGTATGTCTGCTTTTGTGTCTGCCCTGTGATGGACTGGTGTCCTGTCCAGGGTGTATCCTGCCATGCTCCCGTTGCCTAATGGGATAGGCTCTGGCTTCTCCGCAACACTGGACTGGATAAAGCGGGTGGAAAATGGACGTGTGGATGGATTTTGTGGGTGATCTGTAGGGCGATTCAGTGGAGGGAAGCGTTAACAGGGCCTAGTAACGGCGGTTCAGCGTTACCTTGCAGAAGCCATTGATGCACGTGTCACGGCTGGAGCTGCCTTCATAGCACCGCGTGCCGTCGACGGCAGCGTCCAGCAGCTTGTCGGAGAAGTACTCGTTCTGGGGGCGGCAGTGCAGCTCGCAGGGGTTCGCTGGGCAGAGACACACGAGCACGGGTCAGTTCAGGGGTCAGGAAGCAGGATAGGGAGTTCTTAGCTGCCCTGTTGCAAGCTGATCTGAACCTTCACATTGTGCCTCTGCAGCAGTTAAGACATTAACACAAGGGCACAGACAAGGATGGCTAATGTCTGTTTTTTTCCTATTAAAGGTTGCCCCTTGAGCCCCTGTAAATACGGACATGTTTTGTTAATGCCATGACTGGCGGTTCCTTGCTCTGTGTGTAAGCAGCACCCGGTAATGCAAGTACAATTTCAGCAATGCATCATTGCCCATCACTAACCAGAAAAAGACAAACAAAAGTCATTCTCAGAAACAAGACAAAACCTAAGGAAAGAGAAAAAGCTTTCACCCCCCACCTGAGCTCCTGGGAACCTGACTGGATGGACCTATTTCTATAATCCAGCCATATCATTCTGCAACTCACACCTGGAAACCCACTGAATCTCAGCTGGTGTGAGCCTGGTCAGTACCTGGATGGGAGGCCTCCTGGGAAAAACTAAGGTTGCTGCTGGAAGAGGTGTTAGTAGGGCCAGTAGGGGGCGCTCACTCTGCTGTCCATGTGCATCCTAATGCCCTACACTACATTGTAAAAAAGTGCCGTCCTTTCGATTAGACGTACAACTGAGGTCCTGACTACAACTGATGTACAACTGAGGTTGTGGTCACCCCGGCGTCCTGGCCAAATTAAATACCTGAAATATACTCTAAAGCACTTTGAGTGGAGTGTCCAGAAAAGTGCTATATACAGTAGGTCAAAGGAATAATAAATAATTATATATTATTATTATTTTTAGCACTGTCATGATATAATAAGACCCATCTGAAAGGAGATCCTGAAACCAGAACACCCAAGATCACAACTAGAACTAAACCCTCTACCCATTCGTTCTTTTCTATTATGGTTATTTCACCTCCTTTTACTTTTGAAGTAAGGGAAATCAAATGGCAAAATCTGGTTAGTATCCATGAGCCAGTGGGCAATGTTCTTCGTTTACAGCCATAGTGCGTTTCCTCTGTGGGAGAAGTGATGACAGAAAAGACACAGTACATGCAAATTTATTTTGCTGATTAATTTGATTTATTGTGACATTCATTCAACTTTTAAGAAGTCTTGCCCTAAAACTAAAAACAAAAACTGTTGCTTTGAGTCCATTATCATGGGCAATTGTATTCCTGCCTACCTCTGTTGTTCACGGGAACCCATTTGTAGAGCTTGCCCTTATAGGGCATGGTGTTGAAGTGGCTGCACTGGATGTGTCTGAAGGAGGGCAGCCCTGCTGGACAGGGGTCAGTGTTACACACCCGGTACCTCCGACGCTCCCCAAGACAGTACTTCCCACCAAATTTCGGCCTGTCCAACACAAGAGAAATCCCAATTTACATTCCGAGAACAGTGTATGACACCATTTATCTGGATCTGGCTGAGAAACGCAAAGGGAGCCAATTGAAATGGGAGCATATCACAATGTGCAATAGGATGGAGATTATAGCTTACCTGCACCCTGTTGCTTACTGTGATATAAATCCAGGTTAATACTTCAAAAGTAGGACTGGGAAAACAGTGGTAAGAATCTGATATTTTCAAAACTGTTTGCCCTCTGCCCTGTACGCAATTTTAAATTCTTGATTTAAGCTTCAATGCACCCTTTTATTCAAGCTTAGAACGGTTTAAGCTTCCTCTGACTACAGAAACTGTAAGAGTTTTAAATGAATTAAATGAAGACTTTTATTCCAGCATAATTAGATAACTAGGATGCAAAGTGCCAGCCATTTATTTCTTAATCAGTTACAGATTTTGGTTTGATTTTCTGATATAAACTGAAGAAGGGTGCACAGCCAGAAGAAAAAAAAAAACATCTAAAAGACCAACACAAGCTTGCCCAGTCCAAATCTCCTCCCTCAGTTCGAGTGCAACAGCTGGAAAACAAAGCCATAAATGGAGCTGAACTAATTCCTGATGTCAGAATAAGCTGCCCGATATTTTAAATCTCCTCTGCCCAATTTAAGTCGCAGCACTTATGTCATTCACTCAATCCACTTGCAAAGCAACTTAACTGCTGTCAGATAAGTAAAATATTTGCAGGAACAGTGCAGGGAAGTGCTCTGCCACAGTATCTCAGTCACAAGTTCTGACTATCATTATCGCTGGCCTTTCTGGTCAGTCACAGCTGTCAAGAGCTGCCATCTCATTGCACTGTCCCCACACTACAGCACGTTACTGTGTCCAGGAGCTTTGATCTGTCAAACTTAAAACTAGCATCTTCCTTTGCTTTCCTTTCAGTAGGAATTAGGTTTCACTTTAGCTTGCAAATGGTAGAACAAAGGGTAGTGAGGAATCAGGTTCAAAGATGTCAAGGGAAGGATATGTAACAAACTTTTCTTTTTAATGAAGTGAATGAAGGGCTCCGTGGGGTTTTGCTAATCTTGTTTTCTCTTCCTACAGATCAAAGTCGTGTCTGCAGGCTGCGCTTAAGTATATATGCACTCATTCGCACCCTTTAGATCTGTAAAATGCTGGCATTATAAGAAAAGTCTAAAAATATATATATTTGCAGCTGTTTGAAGTCAAATCAGACTTAGGAAATGTTTTAGAATAAGTATTTCAGACATCACCCTTGTGGATGTACATTACAGAAACAGTGACATGGTGAACACAATTGTAGAACAGTCTTGTTGAAGTGTTTCAAGCCAGGGCAACTACAGTAGAAGCATGCAGTGATCCAAAAAGATTTGGAAATTGAAATGGGAGCCTACATACTCAAAATGGTGACAGCCACTCAGCAATGGTATTTGAAGTTTGAAATTCTTCATCTAGAGAAGGCTGAAGTGGCAGACAAAGTTGTTTCTATGAAAACCACCCCTATGTAAGAGAGTGTGAGGTGTTGAGATGCACAGTGCATGCAGAGAATAGCCTCATCCCTAAAGAGCCATTGAGATTCAGAGCATGCAAGATTCCCTCAAGTCTCACTGCAGTCTAGGTGATCCACAGACAGACATTCAAATTCTCAGAATAACCAGGGACATCAATTCCTGCTCCATCTTAAATGTTTCCATAAGCATAATGACAGGTAGTCATTTAACAGCAGCTGATTAATCCTATCTTCTTTGAACAGCAGGACATTAAAACGAAGAACATTCCTTCAGCATTCCTTTCCCATGGAACTGACATTTGTTGACTCTGAAAGCATGCCTGATTGTGGGTGACAAAAAGGAAAAATTAATTCCGTTTGCCTCATTCTCTCTCACAAAAAGTGTCTTGACAAGAAATAAGAGTTGCAACGCTCTGAAAGCAGTTGATTACATGATACGGAGGACTGATAAGAGATTGAAAATATCGGTGACAAAAAAACAGCACATATCTTTGTCACACATGTACTCCCAACAGATTTTTCAATAGGCTTCAGAATTCAGTTATAAAAGGGCTTTTTATTTGTATGACAGTGTTACAATAACCGTGCTGTCTAAGCTCTAGTCTAAAGGGAGTATGTCTAATTCCATTATTAAAATAAGGCTTTTCTGCTACAGTTGCAATAACATTACTGCAGAGCACCAAAGAGACGAGTTGTTTGCTCTTCCCATTTTCCATTGTTAAAACACTTGAAGAGTCTCCACCAAAAATAGTAGCAATTAGCAGCAGTAGATAAAATTTGCTTTGAAACTGCTTTGCTGTACATTAGAGAAATGCATTATATACTGTACACATGGGTGGGTATACTCAGAATTCAGAGTTCCTGTTACAAAGGGAATGTCTCAATACATGCACAGCCATGATATGTATGTTTGCCTACACAAACTACTCTATAGGAAAGTGATATTTAAAATCACTTGCTGAAGTGTTCAGATATTTAGCCTATTTTTCAGCCTATGCACTCCATTTCACCCTTCTGACCTGCTGGATGCCTGTGAGCCTGCAGTTTTATTAGTGAGAGATGCATCGCTCCTCCAGATGATGCTAACTCTTCTGCAAGCTCTGCAGAACCCTGACAGTGTGCATTTGGAAGAAGGAATGCATGGCTTTGGACCTCATGCTGATAGAGGAATTTAGTGGAAAACTGAGTTTATTAGCAATCCCTGTTTCCAAACGGGGTTGGAGCTGAGAAATCCAAAAGGAAAATAGTGATTGCAAAAAGTCACTACACATATCACATTTTAGCCCAAGAGCATATTAAATTATAATTTACATGCATTTTAGTTGAAGTTTAATTCTCTTGTAGAGCTTACCAATGTGAAAAAATGCACTACTCTATTGCTAAGCACAATCAACTGATCATCTGAACAATATCCCTAGCTTTTATTATTAAAAATCCACTCTTCTAACAAAATAAAGACAACTTTCACAATGAGACTATGATACAGAATCTCTATCAAACTAAAAATCCCAGTTAAGCCAGATCAACCAATGTCATTCCCTAGAATTGAAACTTGTGAACAAAATCAGACTGTTCTATAAATGTATTGCGGTTAGATAAGCAACCCCATTGGATAATGTAAAACAGATAAAAAAGGACAAGACTTAACTTTTAAAAGACATAATTCAGTCTATGAAGGGTGACCAGAAGCCCTTTAGGTTAGTGACAGCAACGCTTCAACCCTTTGAAACTAATGAACTCTCCTGCTTACCAGAACACAGCCATTAATCAAACCAGTGACCTTCAATGACATTATCATCAACACACTCATCTAACAAGCCCTACAAAAACACCTGCAGCTTGGATCCTATTGCATGAATACTAATCTTGAATTAGGACCTACTTTGTCCAAAAAGATCTTGTTCAAGTGAGAATATGAAACCCTATGGATTTTAAATTCTTCTCATTGATGTAGTATGCTCATCTTGTATATTTCAATAGAAAGAATCAATACAGAATAGACACCATTTAGTAGTTTATTTTACATTTGATTTTTACTTATATTACTTCTGTCTATCCATTTTCTAACCACTCTATGCAATACAGAGTGACGGGGCAGCTGGAGTTTATCCTGGCTAGCAGTGGACGCAAGGCAGGGTACTCTCTGGACAGGACGCTAGTCCATCACAGGGCACACAGACAACAACACACACTTACACAAGGGCCAATTGACCTTCCCATCTCCAGAACTGAACCCGGCGGCAATGCTATCCACTCTGTCGTCCACTTTTATTAACATGAAGTATTTAAACAGTTGTGTGCTTATTTTTGACCATTTAGAATATATCACAGCATTCTGCAAACCCTTTTCCCTTCATTGAATTACTTTGCTATAGAACATTTTTTGTCCTGCCATTTTAAAAACAAAATTAAAAGACAGGACTTAAGTTTTAATGTCCCATTGATAAGAACATTGGCAGTATATGACATTTGCATGCAATTAAAATGTGTTCTGACCCGCTATTAAATTGGTCATTCACAAGAACAGAAAAATGAAACCATTAACCCTTGCTGTGCTTTAACCCTGTGGGTTTCGTGAACCAGGACAAGGAGGGCTTGATGGCCGAGACTCACACAGGGTTGTTGCACTCCCTCTCCGCATTCTGCACTCCAGCACCACAGGTCCGGGAGCAGGCTGACCACACACTCCAGGATGACCATCCTCCGTTTAGGCTCTCAGGCCGATAGCCCACCGGCACGCACTCTCCATCAAAACACCACTGTAGGAGACACAGAACGACAGAGGTCAGAGCAAAAACGCAGAAAACCGCAGAAGGAACACCACTCGGTCACAGCTGGAATGCAGAACAAGAATTCCGACTCCTTTTTCACATGCTAATGCAAAAATCACTGGTCCTACAGCATGACAGGAACTAGTCAACTTACACATGCTGGGCATGCAAAATGACCTTTGTGGTCAATTAAGCGAGGCACGTCTGCGAGCAACTTCACAAGTCTTGCGAACGTTGCTGGGATTGATGTTAACGTTTATTGTTCAGCAATGGGGGAAATGGGAGCTGATCAGAAGGAGGACACCACGACTATGCAGAGCAATGAAATGCTTATTTACCTTGTTCAGGCCACAATTGGTCCCATCTGCTGCTCCGTCCAGCTTGGAGTGACACGTATTACCCACAGTGCACCACAGTGTGCTACAGACATCCTGTCATAGAGACATAGACATAGACATAGAGACTGCAAGGCTGAAGACAAACTGCTTTTAAAAACATCCTAGATCTCCATGTTTTAAAAATATGACTATATCCACACATAACCTACATATTTCTGTGGAACAAGATGGTGTTAAATTCTGCGGATAATTTATATGAATATTAACAACTCTTCTGCTGAAAACACAAAGCGAATTATGACACAGTGCACAGAAAACAAGGCAGTTTCACCGATTAAAGTGATTATATCAGGAAAAATGAAGGCAACATGAATTAAAAATAATGCTCTCTTCATGAGCTGAAGCCAATGTCTTTGCAAAATAATCATAAAAAATGACAGCTGCTGATTGACCTTTTTGACTTTCTCCCATAAATATAAAAACAGTATTATGCAGAATTGTATGTTATATATGTATAAATATTTCATGAGATTGTGCACAGCGACTTTGTTTTCCTCCTTCCAGGTCATCTGCAGGTAAGCAGGACAAGTTAGTTCTTATTTAGAAGACCAGATGTTGGCTACTGTATATATAAATTTTTAGTACTTGACAGTGCAAACTTAAAGGTCATAGTCATTCCCAACATGAGAACAGAAAATCAATATATTGGTGTACACTAACACAGGGGTCTTTATATAACATAACTAGGTTTGCATTAAATGTTCCAGTATGGACAACAGAACTGAGCAGAGTCTGATAGGATCCATTAGAAAACAGATAATAGTAATTGGCTTAAACGTCTGAACCAAATTTAAAAACCAAAGCACAAAACCAATTTTTAAAAGACCATCTATCCATGCTAAATGTTTTCCCAATTTACTACTGCGGCTAGGAGACTTAGGAAATAAATGTATTTAAAAAAATAATTGTGCAGTTTTTGTCTCGCATAATTTCAAAAACAATTAATCTTTACTGCACTGCAAACATCTTTTAACACGGATATTCTGCCATAATGGATCATGTGATTTCTGAGGACAGAGTAATGGATTTTCATGGTTCTTTGAACACTAACCAAAGAAAACAATGGGTGACCAGTTGGCCCAGAGACTCCTTGACATCAGTCATACCCAGACAGCTGAGTTGTTTGTTCATAGGCCTGCATACTCTGGGCTCTTGTCCTGCATGGTCCTCTTCTATTATCCAGTAGAGCCTGTTTCATCAGTCTGCACCCCTCTACCCAATGACTGGAGTTACTATATCCGAGTTTTCCACTCTAGGCAAACTGTCCACCCTACATCCTGCGGTCAATGAACTAGATGGAAGTATGCCCACAGCAGAAAACTGGGCTTATACTACCTGTGTGAGAGAATAGAAAGCTCCCGACAAGAGCACACTTCCCATACTGAGTCCTCTCAGCCCAGGCCTGCAGCAGTGCAGGGTTGTTACTGTCTAACACCGCCTGTGAATATCTGCACTGCCTCTTTAGAGAGATCCAATATTCACCCCAATATTTTTTTCGTTTTAATACAAATTGCAATACATCATCATGGCAATTGTTATTTAAGAGCCTGATTATCACTAAATGCCTGCATAAATGGAGTGCGACATTTCAACAAGAGAAAGAACATGTGACTGAGACAAGCATGCTAGAAGCTGAATATATTTAGAGAAGCCAAGATATGTAGTAAGTGTAGCATGATTGCCATCCTCTGCAATTAACAGAACCTGTACAGACCAAACAGCATGCAGAGAGGCCAGGCAGGACTGGTGCACAATTGCCACTTCAAAAGTTTCGGCAGGATGTTGCATCACTAAACCAAAGGAACAACAGATACTGGAGTGAGAGACTCTTTATAGGTAAAATATAATCTCCACATAAGCTGACATTTTCCTGCAAATCAGGACTGCACCAGAGTCAAAAACCGTTATTGAACTACGACTGCACCTGGGTCTCAAGGGTTACAGACCCACTTGGAATGCAGATCTACACGCATTGCCCAGAATGAATTCATCATCCCTCCCTGTTGATAAACTTTCTTCTATTTGGTGTCAGTGGTGCAGATAAGGAGACAAAGCAAAATTTCAGGGCTTATCGCAGCGTGAAGCCCAGCTGATCAACTTCACTGATCGCTTGCTGTGACATTTCAGCTGGTGATGGGAAGCCATTAATTGTGCGTCCAGCATGTAATCAGAGTAGTCCATCTGGCCATGACAAATGCTCAAGGGTAGTCTGCTGCCTCAGAGCCACGTTACAGAGTAAGATAGAGACTGACTGAACGTTCACCAAGATTTCAAAATTCAGATGCCCTTTGCAAATAACCATTTCAGATCCGACCCCAAAGTCTCATCATACTGGACAACAGATTTCCTTTTCCTGAAGCTTTTTTTTCAGACAATTGTGACAGAACAGTGCAGGAAAAATTAACCTTTCATCACAGCAGACAGCCAACCTAGCAACAAGAACTGGGTCAGCATTGTCCCTTATTATTGATTTTTCCAGCCTAAGAAAATTACTGTAAACGATCATCTGAATAAGTACAAAATTCAAATACTGTATATAACCTGCAAAGATGTTCAGTCCCTGCTAAATAAATAAGGTATGGTTCTTTTCTCTATGCCTTTTCTAACACAGGCATATGCTCTTTAGATTTTTTAGCAGCAGGAGCCAATCTGAATATTAAAACTTTCATCCTTTTTAAAGACGTACTTCAGACTCTTTGTCAGTAACGAAAGGTTTTGCTCTACTACACTGTGAGTAGTATTCTCCAAAACCACTGATTTCTGATTAAAACCAGTTGGGTCACCACACAGCACAGTCTACACCCTCCTAACAAAAACAGGAAAAGGGAAAACTCAAAGTCCTACAATTACACTCAGATTTCTTTCCATTTGAATCTGGCATTGACTGCAACTAAGAGAACAGTGTGTTAAAAAGAGAGAAAAATGAAACAGAAATGATGGTCTGTCTGTAGCAGCCACACTACATATCTTACAATAACCATTTAAAAGTATAGTGTAGCAAAACACAGTGAAATCAAGGTAAAGTACAAGGGAGTATCATAAAGCACGATACAAACAATGCAAAACCATAGAAAGGTGTGATTTGGGGAAATGTGTAAAAACAGCAAGCAAATTTATTGTGGTCAATTTTACTAAGGATATTTGTAATTAATGTACTCCAAACATCTGTACAACTTGGCCCCAAACCACACACAAGCTGAGCACAGCTAGAGCATTGGTTAATTAGACGACCCTGTTGTTTCTGTGTGGTCTCTACGTGGCCTTTTCCTGAAAACCCTGTAATATTCCACAGCACCCAAGGCAGAGAATAGTTTGAGTAATCTTTGTACTGTATGTATGGTTTGCATGCTAATTTTTAATATCACACCTGTACAACATACAGTATACAGCTCATATTTAAAATGTCTTAACATTGCAGCAAAGTAAAGCAAGTTTCAATATTGAAAACGGAACAAAATCTAGACAACATGGGATATATATTTGATTAAATCTCAATGAAGTCTTTAACTCACTACAAAGCTTAGAAAACAGCACTGTTCAGAAATGTCTCCATAAGAACATCTTTATACATGGTGGAAACACTTTCAGACTGACTCAAAAGCCAAAGGTTTTTATTTTAAAACATTCAACAAAGTACTTAATTGACAAGTTGTTAATTCTGTGAAGAAAAGTGAGAAGAAAAAAAAGTTTTTCACTAATAGAAATAGCAGCATCATGTTTTGCAAAGAATTATGTTTTTTTTTTAAATGTTCAACATTGTTCACACCCCTATGCATCAACAGATGACACATTAGTAAGTACTGATTAAGTCTATTACAGAGCAAAGTCCGTTTTAACCCAAGTGTGCTTTGAATTTTCAACTAGAAACAAGCTTTTCAGAACAGCCTGTACACCACAGTCCACTTCAATTCATACCAAATACTTCCCTTCCTGATAACAGATATGTCTGGAACAAATAAAAGAATGTGCCGAGCTAAATTATCCAGAAATATGTATTAAATCAATGTGCAGGACTAATAAAATCTCACTCATCTCAAGTGTCAGGGAGCAGTGTAGCATAGTAGGTAAGCCTTTCATCTCATGACTGGTGGGTTGTTAATTCAAGACTCCCCTACAGTCACAGCTCTTGTACAAGTGAGTGAGGTATTTGACCCCACTGCTTCAGCCTATTTGAATGGAGACCAGCATTTACTAGGTGTAAACCCTGCATTGAACTGGTATCCTGTCCAGGGAAGGAGTCATGTGCTCTATTTGCTTACTGGCATGGAAACCAGGATAAGCTCATGCTTGAAGGCCACAGGGGATAGACTATTGCATTACTTGTCCGAATCCAGCCCAAAATGTGGGATTTGGAAGATAATTTTTTTTTCAATCAAATAATACCAGAAGAAGCTTCCTGTGGTTTATAAGCCAGGCACAACCTGCATACATTAATTAGGAAAGCATATTTTTATTCAGGATAGCGTTTTCCTGCAGCTATTAGTATTTCAAAAGTTTTTGCCTTCACTTTAATAATCTTTAATGACTTCTTAGGATGTCACTAGGGATCACTTATCTCATTTTTACGAGCTGCAATAAAGATTTAACTAAAGATCCTATTACTGACATTAGTAATAACTTCTGTATCTCTCTACTTTTAAATCTCTCTGCATTATCATGTCTTTTTCACCATGCACTTTGCAATGTGTTCAATCAAGAGCTGCTCTGCACAAGAAAATGGATTGATACCAATAACATCATAACGACAGTCAATAGGTTAATTGGAGCTTCATAGCCTATTTCTCCAGCCATTTTCCATTTCCTGCTGCCATCGTTGAAACAATATAAGCTTGTGCAGATGAAATTGGTCTTAATTTTCTTGCCGCATTGTAGCGGGAGGTCAATGACAACCTCTTTACACCTGCACAGGGAGCAGATTGGAAGTTGTCACAATCCATTAACTTTCGTGCTGAATAGGAAGTACTTAACCTTCCAAACCATGGTAAAATGCTCACAAGATTTCGGTGTTGTTTAAATAAAATGTAATAATACAATTTATTAAACTCAAAACTTGGATCCCTTTTTTAGGTGGCTTGAGTTTCACATAACTGGCCATGGGCGCAAACATAATTCTAATGATATTGTAAAGGTGAACAGAATGACTTATACTGTATGTACTCATTCTTATTTTGCTGCCCAAGGTGTGCTGCAAACTGATGCACTTGTAAGTTAAACCTGCTTTTCTGTCTTTCTTGCCACAAATTGGGAATTATAGAGTGGAAAGTATTCCCCAGTCAAAAAAAGCCTATTAGATGATAGGGGGGAGAAACTGAGGAAACTGGTGGAAGTTCCCAAGCTTTTGCTCCAGTGTGAAGTTCACACTCCTACTTTTTGATACTGTGTAAGATCCAGGTACAACTTCAAAGTCAAAGTTGGTCACTAATGGCAAGCAAAGAATGAATGAGAGAGGGGTACCTGTGCTGAAAGCAAAATAAATAAAAGGGGTTTCATACTCCTGAGGGCCCAGTTTCTCATGGTTTTGTTTCATCCTGAGCAGTCAAACAATTAACCTATTTTTGACTTGGTTAGACATCTATAGCATTTTTATTTCACAGTTAATTACTTAAAACAGTCACAATTTCAACAGTAAAGTTGTCTGTAAAGCACCTAAGAGCCTTATTAGAATTATTACAGTTAAATTTTCAGACCAACCATGTAACCAAGGGCCCAATATAAGCTTGCAAATGAAGCCCAGAAGACACCAGGCCACCCAGGAATTGAGTCTGAGACCCCTGGATTAAAACATAATATTACTGATGTGGTGTAACTTCAAGTCTCCAAACATGTCCAATCCAACAGGTTTTTATACAGTAGGTAATCGATACATTGTTAATTTCTAAAGACCTGTTAAATTAATTTAACGGTAGCCACTTAGCCAGGTTATTAGTTAAGGTGATTTGGATATCATGGGGTGCAAAAACTCTGAATACCCTTAGCTATAGCTGTGGGGGTGAACAGGCAAACAGAGTTGTGTCTTACGTCCACATCGTCGCAGAATTGGGAGCTGGAGCCATACTGCAGGCGGCACTGGTGGGCAGCGCTGTAGAGGACCCCTGGGGGCACAGTGGAGAACTCCAGCTCGTCCCGCACTGGAGGGTCGTCCAGACACAGGCCCCAGCCACGGCTGTGGACAACGACAACAGGAGCACCATCAGACAGATAAGACCGCTAGCGGGTCCACACTGCCCATAAGGATCCTTAGGAAAGCTGAAACCCTTAATACGCTAATGTAGTGCCTGACTCATTTGATGAACCCTTACAAAGTGAGTACTCCAAAATAACTATTATCACAATGGACTCTGCTACACGAGCCAGAAGCTACTGTTTATCACCCTGCAACTCACAACTGGCAATCCACTGAAGCTCAGCAGGTGTGAGCCTGGTCAGAACCTGGATGGGAGACTTCTGGGAAAGCTGACGTTCCTGTTGGAAGAGGTGTTAGTGGGACTAGTAAGGAGTGCTAACCCTGCAGACTATCCATAAAAAAGGCGCCATCCTTTGGACCAGAAGCAGGACAGTCTGCTGGGAGTCATTCAGTCCTGCTCATCACAGTAGCACAGACACTGGCCACATGATACCCAAGAAATCAGTAAGTCCCCTTCCACTTAGTCGTACCCAGTATTGTTCGGGTGAGTTCTGAGGTGCTGACTCTGGCATGAACGACGCAGATTAATCTTGGCCTGCTGGTTTCCTCCCCGACACTGTTAATGTTCCCACCAACTCTCCCTTAGAAATAATGCAAAGGCCTGCAGAGATACAACGTGACTTGAACTTACCCTGACAGCATTACCACACTTCCTCATTCCATTTTAATAAGGAACTGATGCATTCCTGCAGAGCTCAATCTACCTGTTCTTTGCTTTTATGTATCATTCATGTTGCTTCAGTTCTTGATGCATTATTAGCACTCCTGAGCTGTGATTAAAACCGTCTCTCCTGGCAGAAACTAGGACTGAGAGTGAAATGTAGAAAAGCAGGAGCCGGAACTCCCACAGTTCACATACGCAAAAGGGATATATTAGTTTTTTTTTTCCATTTAGCAATCAAAGAGATTCTAAGAGCTGGGTAGGTTATACATAAAAAATCGTTCTTTGTACAAAGCTCAGACCAAAGGAAGGCAATTTTCTTTTTCTTAAAGAAGGTTATAATCTTTAATGGGATTTTTTGAAAGTACAGTAAATTCTCAGTTTAACAGACTTAAGCAGGTGTAAACTGAAAGGGGTATCTGTTACTGCCAAATGTCCGTTAGATCACCAATGACATTGTTTTCAGCCCCAAAACACATAATTGTGTGAGAAATATATATAGGCTGTCTGGATCTTCTGACGTTTTTTGGACCTGAATCTTTCAGAATTTTGTTTAACAATTACTATCAACACAATCAATGAAAAGTATTCCTGTGCTTTTATCATAAATATACAAGCTCTTTATTTCATATGTCATAAATGTTAAAGCATTCAAGACACAAACTCTCATTGTAAGTAGATGACCTACCCCTACAGGGCACCATTTGTATTCCTGATTTTTAAACCTATGTAGCCTTTATTTCTCCCTTGTTTTAATTATATTAGCATTTTCTCCATCATTGAGAGGGGAAGTCTGTTAAACCAAGGGTTCATGTATAAGAAAAAATATGGGTTTTATGTTGCAAAAATGCAGAAAAAAACTGTTCCAATTTTAAAAATGCCATGTGCAAAACAAGAATGATGTTTTTCATCTTTAGGGTGGACTGGTAACAGCTACAGGTGTATTAGACTTCATTGATTGATCAGGCCAGGGAGTGTTTAGGATAGAAGAGGCTCACACACCTGCCTTGCCAAGAAATTACAGGATGAAATTTGAATTGTTTTTTTTTTCCCTGGTAGAGCAGAGTAGAGAGTTCTCTAATTAATGGATAAGGAATGAAGATGCTAAACATGATAGAGTGTGGAGGAACTGCAGTTTTGACAGGCCTTTCTCTTTGGAGTTTGGCAAAACTTCAAGCTTCACACTCTCGACAGAATACCCATGTGAAATAATCCATTAAGATCCACAAAAGCAATTGCAGTTTAACAAGAGTTCCACTCTTTGCAATGATTACTTTGGCAACAGTGGCATCTCCATACACAGCACAAGCATAACTCTTCCCTGACTCCGGCTGGCAAGCAGTCTTTCTTTTTAATTTGCTTCGCAAGCCCTGGTAATATGCTCAGTAATTGCTGTATTATGATCTGAGCAGGAAGTTTACTAAATACTTCAGAGCCCTCTGGCAAGCTAACAGCACACAAAGAGGAAAGCTGGAGATTCTGGGTGCTGCTACAGTTTATCCAGTGAGGAATGGTTACAACTCCAGGAACAATAGATCCATGTGACAAGTACTGCCAACAATCTCTAAAACAAACACCCACAAATAAGACCATAATATCTGGTTTCAGTGGTTCTCCAAAAATGATTTTATTCAACTCTGGATAACAGATTTCCTTACTGAATCCTCTAACCCCATGGTACAAGGTGCAGCCAGGTTTAGGATAAGCTATGGGAGTTACACTGGAATGTTTAAAACATGGAACAAAACTTGCAGCCTTTTATTTTGCAAATAAAAGGGTTAGTGATAACAATAGTATTCAACATGCTTTAGTACACCACAGGCATAATGTCCCAGATGTGTTTAAAACAAAAGGGAATGATGCCCACAGACAAATTAATACTTTTCTTCCATGTCACCCTGCAATCTGGCAATACACTCAGCCTGTTGTTAAAATCATCCATCCTTCCATTTTCCAACCGCAGTTTAGGGTTGCAGGGGAGCCGGAGTCTATCCCAGCAAGCAACGTGTGCAAGTCAGGATACACCCTGGATAGGATGCCAGTCCATCGCAGGGCACACAAAGACACGTACGCACCAGGGCCAGTGTTCCTGGAAGCCAATGAATCTACCAGTACGTCTTTGGACTATGGGAGGAAACCCACGCAAACATGGGGAGCACAAAGAAACTCCACGCAGATAGCACCCCAGACGGAACCCAGGGCCCCTGAGCTTCGAGGCAACGAAGCTAACCACTGCACCACTGTGCCTCCTGTTTTCAAATCACTGTTGTTCAAATTAGATGTACAGTACTCTGCCACTGCCCCATTTCCTTCCAAGGAAACGAGAAAAGGATCTTAAGAAAGGGAATATAATACGTGATCATTACGTGCTACACCAGTTTTTCTTAGTAAGAATTTTTCCTTGGAGATAGGCAATGAAGCACAAGCCTATCAAACGCCCTTTTAATTCCATACACTGTAAATTCTGAAGAGATGATGGAAAATGACTCATTGAATTAAGAGGACATCACAAAAGCTGCTGAGAGATAAACTGCCTGCATCCTGTGTATTTAATAACTCTCTTGCAGGAAGAATCTATGTCATAGCTCTTGACCTGTGAATCTATTTTCTGTTTAATCATACTTGTGAAGTCTTTCAAAAGCTTAAATGTATGGCTTCATATCTACTGTAAATGAAAGGTCAACTTTTTTCTGCACAAGGGATGATGTATGGGATATCAATGATCTTCAGCCTAGTTGAACTGGTTGAGCAATAACTAGCATGTGTGTTTTTTGGAAAATTGGCTCTTTTAGGTACCCAGACCATACAGCCCGTGTCATTTGTAATACCCATGTCATTTGCCAAACCACTTTATACCATACAGTGTCGCGTGAAGCCGGAGCCTACCTGGCAAGCAATGAGCGCAAGGCAGGGTTCACCCTGCACAGGGCGCCAGTCCATCGCAGGGCAAGTGCAAGCCAATCAGACATGGGGACAATTTTGAGGCCACAGTAAAGGCGTAGGGGGGGAATTCAGCCCAGACACTGGGATAACTCCCTACTCTTATCGAGAAATGCCCAGGGATCTTTAATGACCACTGAGAGTCAGGACATCAGTTTAATGTCTCACCCGAAAGACAGCACCCACTACAGTATAGTGTTCCTGCCATTACACTGGGGCATTAGGACCCACACAGACCGCAGGATGGGCGCCTTGGTTTGCAAGTGAAATGGTCTGTTTAAAACAGTTATTTCCCCAACATTACTGTTGTCATTAGACTCCTAGTCATTTTCTCAGTGCACAAAGGAGCTTAGGCTTACAGTTCACCCAGCAAAACTTCGCATGCTTGATGAGCTGGTAAAAAGCAAAAATGAAATAAATACATGTATTTACAGCCAATTTGTTTGAATGAGTTAACAAACACTGTGAAACAGAAGGAACAAAAATCATCTACCAAGACCCCAGCAGAGCTGCAGTCTCCCTGCACATCAACACTCTGTAGCTTGCTTGGGGAATGTGGTATAAGAGTCGTCCCCATTCCTCAAAAAATTGTGGTCATTTTCCAATTTCCTGTAGTTCACTAAAACCACATACATTTTTTAGTATATACAGTATAATACTGTAGAACAGAAGACAGTTTCCTTTGGTTCTTGAGCACGGGATTTGCTTCTGCTTTTCAATGAATCATTGACAGTGTATTAATGGAACTACCCACGGGGATAAGAAGTCAAGTAGGCTGTGATTTGAGGGTCTTAATCGGGTGCTAATTGAAAGCCGTGTCTTGGAATCGGACTGGATTTGCCCCCCACCCCTCCCATGATGTATTTTTCAAACAAGAAAAACAAGATTAAACGAGAAAAGAAAGTTTTTGCTTCTACCCAGACAGCCAGTCCTGACAACAGTCTGTCCTAGCAACGGGCTCAGTCCTAGCAAACACCACATGATGGGCCGCAAACACCACATGATGGGCCGCAAACACCACATGATGGGCCGCAAACACCACATGATGGGCCGCAAACACCACATGATGGGCCGCAAACTGTCCGTCTCCTAGATGAGGCTGGCCTCTCTCTTTTATTTTGCTTCGTTCTCATGTAGCTTCGTTCATAGCAGCTTTTTTTCAAAATGTATCCGTTGCTGTTTGCTGTTTCTTGGGGAGAACCTGAGAGCTGGAATGTGCTGCTGGCAGCAGGGAGAGAGGTCAGGGAAGCCTTCAGCTGGTGCCAGCTGGAGTGAAGGGAAACAGTATTCTCAGGCAGGGGGAGGGACGTTATCGCAGAAACTCACGAAGACGGCCTCCTCCCTTTCCCCTGGCAGGGCATGTCATACAGGCAGACACTGGTGAGGGAGTGTAGCTCTCAAATGGCATCATTTATTGATGTGATCACTTATTAGTCTAATTTATATATAACAAAAACACTGGAAAAAAACACCTCGATGTGGTCAGTATTTCCAGTCAGCTTTTGAGAAGGCAGAAGATGGTAGTTTTTTGGTACCATTAAACCATCCTTGCTTAAACGTCTCATTTTTCATTTCATCATTCTTTTATTAAAAACATAGGCACAGTTACCAACTAAAGGAGGCCTTTTGATCTGTCCAGTCTGTTTGGTGGTTAGTAGCTAATTGATCCAAAGTTCTCCTCCAGCAGTTTCTTGAAGTCAGGGTATTGGCTTCAACAACATGGACATTGTTGTCTGATTGTCCATTTGCATTCCACCAGCATGCTTTAACGACCATGCAAGCAGCGACCTCATTAAAAGTAGTAACAAGAGCCTCCGATAAGGTCAAAGTCAAGGATAAGTGGGGGATGGAGGGGATTTACCGAGGCCAGAGGTATAGCAGGAATCTTAGCCACTTAATATAAATCAATTATTCAGGTCCTAAAGAAACAGCCAGCAATAGGTTTTAGCTGAGCTGCCCCGAAAAGTCCCAGCAAACACACTGGCTGAGAGGATCCCTGGAGGGCATATCTGTCACTGACACAAGGTCATCTTGCAGCAAGGAGACGGATGTTTTAATTTGTTCCATATGGAAACATCATATGTTTGGCACGGAGGCAAATTTGCAACACTAGAAACAGTCTCATTGACAACAAGCCTTCCCACCACCAACATTTCGAGCATGTGTCACGAGAGGAAGGGGAGGAGAGCCTGGAGGAGGGGCTGGGGGGGGGGTCACAGACATCTGTTCTGAGAAACTTGCAGCCTCCCTTTCCACACAAAAAAAGACAACACATGCGGTCCCATATTTTCATGGAGCTGACGAAATCTCAAAGCCTGTCAGAGTAGTCAAATAGAACAAAAGTGTAAAAAAATACGACATTTTCTGCTCTTAGTCTTAGCGTGGCACTGTTCTAACCAGTCTGGCATCCACTCGGCGTCCTTGCATCACAGAGCACAGAAGGGCAAAAACACCTTGCAACACGTACACTCTGACACAGTTCAGAATTATTACATCGATATTCCTCTTTTTAATCAGAATATAAATATGTGAAATATTCAGTGTTACTCCTGCCTTGTACCCATGCTTGCCAGGATAGGCTCCAGCTCTCCTGTGACCCTGAACTGGAAGAAGCTGTTAGGAAAAAGATGGTTGGACTCAATGTTATTTTGATGCTGATGTTTTTATATGAGGAGCACTTCAATTTGTACACTGCTTTTTTTACAGCTGAGCTTTTATTTAGGCAATCTTAGTACTTAGCAGAAGGTTACAGCAGCTGTGCCCCACCCGGCATTTGAACCCACAACCTACAATCAGGACAGTCCTTTGGGAAACTTGTGAAGGCACAGAGAACTGATTGCCTATGCATGTACCACAAAAATCTACCTTGCTTTCAATATTCTTTCTCATATTCTGCTATGTATACTATCTGTCATGATTGTACAACTCTTTATCTGCTCTCACATTAAGTGTACTAACTATGACTAAATGTGGCTATTTCTTATAATAAATGTTATGTTATTAGAGAAGCAATGAAAGAAATTCCAAATGAAATCATTACATGGGCATCCCAGTGACATTGTAGTTGTCACTGCAGTCTCGCAGTTCTTGAGTCCTGGGTATCCAGTTATATTTGGCCAGCCAGGTCAGAATAATTCTAATTCTGTACTGGGGTGCTCTCTGTATGGAGCTGGTACATTCTCTCCATGTTTGCAGGAGTTTTCACTGGCTGCTCCTGTTTGCTCCCACTTTCCAGAGACATGCAGAATAGGATCACTTATGTCTCTAAATTGTCGGTATGTGCTTGTGTGTGTAGACTGCAATGGACTGGTGCCTCACCCAGGGCAAAGCCCTGTCTTGTGTCCTGTACTTCCAGGGCAGACTCTGGGTTGCTACAACCCTAGTCAGCAACAAGCAGGTCTCTGACAATAAATGAATCATAATACATCTCAATCTTCCCATCCCTTGTATTTAAGTTCACTGCCAGTTCTTATCAATCATATTGCCAGGAGCTGACATGCAGAAGTCAAGACAACCACACAATTAAGAATGGTACTGTTGTTTCTGCTCAGAGGATGATAGCTAAGTGAAGTGAAAGCCAAAGACAAAAGACATCAACTGTCAAGCTGTCAATTTACAATCTGGAAGGTACAAATGAGACAAGCAGCCTCGCCTGTCTTTAAAGAAGGAAACATCAGCAATGAGGCGGATCTTTTGACATTTGATTCTTTAACATCTCCCACACGTTGACCCAGGAGTCACATAGCGCTATAATATGCCATGTTTCCTCTCGCTAGATGGCTCAGGAAGTAGACTGTAAAGTCAGTCAACAGGCTTAGACGAGCGTAAACAGGGCCTAGCAAAGACAGAGAGACAGCGGACAAGTGGCGAGAGAGGCAGGACTTACTCGAGGAAACGTGTGATGTACTGCCGGCTGCAGCGCGACCAGTTGGGGGGCGTGATGCCGTACAGGAGCTGTGGAGACATGATGAAAGGTCTTTTCCCAATCGGCTCACAGTCATTGCCGTTCCCATCATGCTGAATCCCAAAGCTGTGACGCAAGAGCACATCCCAGAGAGAGGGAAAATGAGTGGGCCCTACAGGGAGAGCTGCACATAAACAATCTGCAGACACAGTGAACTTTTTGTCAGATTACACATGGGGCCCATGAAATTCAAGGGTGAATACAAACCAGACAAAGTAGCCCTTCAGCCTGAAACCTCACGCTTGTCGATCGAACCACGCCAATGAAACAGACATCAGGAAAAATCAACATGCACTGCTAGTCACATAACCCCTTATAGTGACCGACGAATATGACCTCTCTACAATGTCTCCCCATCATCATACTTCAGAATTAAGAAGTGGTTGATGTATTGATTAATTTATTGAGCCGGTTTTATTAGTGCAGCCAGATTGATAAACGTGAGGTCTATGACTGGAAAGCAAGTTAGTCATGTTCACCTAAGGCACCCATGAACTATGCAGGGCAATAATGTTTCCTAAAAAACAAATACACACACACACATAACCACAAAGGCACCATCCCATCCTAGTAGGAGAATAAGGATTTTAGTTTATCCCATTTCTAGTGATCTAATGCAATATTCTAACCAACAGTATGTAACTGGGTAAGAATTTTACTCCACTAAAAATATAAAGTGTTTCTTTGACTTCTAAGGCCCAGGTGATAAATTGTGATGCACTGCAAGGTCATCTGGGTTTGGCAGTTATCATTGTCTTCTAACACACACACACCTGATTGTCTAGGGCTCACAGCTGTACTATTTTTGAACACAAAGGCAGACCACATTAACAAGCCAAGTCATTTCATTTACCACTGCTGACCTCAACAATGAAGTCTGTTCATTGCAATTGGCAATAAGGTCTTATCAGCAGAGCATAGGTAACAATACATGTTCTCAGTCTTGTTTGGTGGTCTGAATATTCTCTCCAGACAGTCAACACAAGGCACCTGGAACCTGAGCCATTTAACTCAATCAAGCGAGTGCTGACAGGACACAAACAGCAAATGCCACTTTGTAATTTTATTGGCTGTGGCCAGCTGTACATACAGAGACACTCAGACCCTAAACAAATACCCCCCACCCTCCCCACCGGCCAAATGCACACACAGAGTTCGGTTTTCTGTCTATCCCAGGACAAAATGCTCCCTTTCTTTCACAATTTCTCACTCTTAATTCAAAACCTCAAAATAATCCCATGAGGACAGGATTGTAAGAAATGTTTTTTATTATTATTATTTTCCACTGTGTTCACATAGTCTTAGAAAATGTTTAAGTAAATTGTTAGGAAAGGAGAAATTTTCTTCACAATGGAAAGCTTTAAGGATACATCACTTTCAGTAACTGACGTGGGTTGATATATACACTGACACCCAACTTCCATGTGTTTAGGGGGAAAAATGAACAACCAATTTAAATCTGAAAACTTTTGAACAAGGAGCTGAGGGCAGAGCTTTCTCTCATTGCTTTTTTACAGCCTCTTAAGAATTTTGCTCCAGTGTTTCTGTGTGATAGCTAGTGCTTGAACCCCAAACCTCTGGGGTACTTGACAGGAAGATTCTCCAAGCCCAACCAGGCAGGAAGACGCATGTTCGTATTTACCAACCAGTCAAATGAAGAGTACGAGAAAGAACACATGCAGGATGGGTCATGCTGACAGATGGGGCAGTAGAGAGATGGCTAACGATAATTTTTATTGTGCTTGATCAAAAGAGCTCTTAGTTCGCAGCGTTAGTTTATTTATGGTTTATAATTAAGGGTGAAACGCATTGAAATACAAAGCCTAACATGACTTAATCCTGGTTGTTAAATCAGGGAATTGGGAAGGTGATGTGACAGTGAGTGGAGACAACTCTAAATGAAGCTCCTAGAGGCTTTTTATTACACATGATCCACATTGAATGGCAGCCTCTCTCACTTACTAAAAATAAAATCTATTTGTATAGTATTTATTTTTAGTTGGTACTATTACACTTCTCTTATTTAATCCTTCTGCTTCTTTTAATCTTCCCTACTGAAGAAAACAAACTCGAGCTAAAAATACATTTGCTTTTAGTTTTCTTCTGAAAAGGTGTGAAAAAAAAACTTTTAAATCCACAACAACAGGCATCACTGTGGGCAGCGTTTACACTTTGACTCACAGCGGTGTTGTCCCTTCTTCTAAGCATTTTTCAATAGCTTTTTATTCCTCAAGACTAAATATTGACTATATTCTTCAAGAGCTGGTTTGTGTGGCCCCCCAGGAGTGGGGACGAGCGCTGGGAAGCCGAGTCGGAGTGAAGAATCTATTTACTCCTCATTAGGAAGACACAGCAAGAGCCCTAGTGGGCAGAGATTTACAGCTCGCACCACATTTGCTGCCCAGTCTCTGGAATTTATGCAATGGGGATCCATTTAAACTCCCCTGTCTCTCTCGGTCTGAGATAAAACAGTGCAAAAACTCCACTACTGGCAAATCCTTTTCAACTCTGGTATGAGGACACTGAAGAGCAGCTCTTTACTTCACTCATGCTAACATTGTCCATCCCTATGTACAAAGCCACTTACTCCTAGCAACCCGGCGCCTGTTCCTGAAGCGAGAGAGGTACAAGACAGGGAGAGACAGAGGAGCAAGGGCACACATGCATATGGTTTGAGTGAAAACTGCCCCACATGGGCTCAAGGGGAACATGCAAACTCCACACAGGCAGCACCCCAGTCCCGAAGTGAACACGGTGATCAAGGCGCTGGGAGGCAGCAGTGCTGACTTCCACAACACCGTATTCTTATTAATACACACAACACAAGATGTAAAACAAGCAAGATGAAAACTCCCATCTGAGTACATGAAAAGTTTGAAAAGATTCATGAACATGCAATCATGGTTAGCAAACCTGCAGTTTTAAATGAACACCTGATTGACCAAAGCACTGGAGAGGTTTATGAACAGAACTGCGATTTGTTTTGCATTGAATGTTTTCGCCTTTAAATAGCAAGGAGTTGGAGGTCTAGCATTACAATACACGTGGTCGCACACGTCCTCCAGCTCCTGTCTAATCTCAAACTGCCTGCTCGCAGAGGGCGGGGCTGGGGGAGTCTTACTTGTGCCCGAGCTCGTGTGCCACGGTGAAGGCCAAGGGCAGCCCGGTGTCCTCGTTGATGCTGCAGCTGCGGTGAGGCTGGCACATCCCCGCCACGTGGGACAGGCCCAGCGTCTCGCAGGGCTTGTTCATGGCTGCACATATGTCCTTCCTGTTGAGGGAAGCGCACCGCATCACTGACCAGCTCAACCTGCTGCTGCACGAAACCCTGTGCTGTGTGTTTCAGGGCTATTCACCCTGGGCACGAGGATGTCAGTGAGCTTCAATGCAGAAGTACAAGCAAGGGGAAAGTTCATCTGTTATTTTTTTCACAAACCTGCGGGGCTTTGTCCAGATAAATCAGGGATATACAGGAAATATCCTGAGATAATAAAGTGACATTCAGCAGATGTGCTGCCTTAGAATCAGGTATATCCTCGGTATGGTTGCATGGGGCTTCATCACCATGGCCAAGATGTGACATGGCTGTACCCTGCAATAACCCAGCCAGTTTCTGACCTAATAACATTCCAACATAAACCAAATCCTGTGCCGAAACTCACCCATTTGGATTCACTGTGATGCAGCGTTCCTATCAGAGCAAGATTTTAAAAGACAAACAACTTCCGAAAAGGAAGTCTGAGAACTTCAGCAGAGAATTAAGCTTTGATAGTGAGAAAAACCTTCTCTTTATTTAAAGACCTTTAATACTTCAGCTGCAAATGATCACATTGATTCCTGTTTTTACAAAAACCTTATATTCCTTAAATGCAGCTTTTAAGGGTGATAATTGTCTCAGCATTAATAGCTCCACTAAATCAGAAACATTTGGTCGTGTCTTGAGAACATATTGAATTCTAGTTATCCAAACCAAGATGTATTTTTTTCCTAGTTCACAGCTTAGCAAAAGGAATGAAGTGAGAAATGTTATGAATATAAAACCCAGAAACAAGAATTACAGACCATGAAACAAAGTGTCATATTTATTATTCAGGAGAGCGAATTGCAAATTGATTTTCCAATTATCTATCACAAAAGGAACAGTGCAAATGATATGTTTCTGATTTTATCCCCAAAGCAATTAATTTGAGTAATCAAAGGCAATTCTGAAGAGAATTAATAACTTATTGCATATGCTGAAAAATATATATCTAAAGCTCCTCTGTGCTGGAGTAATTAAATATAAAGAGTACTTGTTGTGACCATCATTTAAACTGGTCATTGCCAATAGCATATCAAGCCATTATGGACCCCTTAATTCTATCATGCAGATTAGCGTTTAGATCTGGCATTTTAATTATTAAGCTTATTAAAAATGTGGCCAACTATAGGCAGTCCATGAAATGAGGCTAAGTGCTGAGAAAGCCTTTAATCGGGAGAGCAGAACCAACAATGAATCAGACCCAATTAGCCTCCATCAACAAAAAACAGGCTTAAGTTAATAAAATATATTTTTTTATTTTATAATGAGATTTATGCATCTCATTTCTGTTTTTATCTTTGGCTGGTCTTTGCTTACATCATTACTAGGCTGATATGAGGTTAATGTATCATACTTAATGGAAGACGGGTTGAATGGTCACTGTGAATTGCTTTGAATATACACGATATGTTAGGGAGACAACTTGGCATTTCAGAAGGCATAATTTTAGTCTTTACTCTTCAAAAGCAAATGATTTCGGATATAAGGTTTACCATTTTCCTCCAGATGAAATTCAGATGACACAGATGACATCTGACCTGTAATGTTAGTAAGCTGAAGACAGGCATCAACCAATACATATTTTTTGGCACCACAGTCTTCCAAAGACAGAACTGGCTACGGGTGGATCCTGACAGTACAAACGCTTCAGCATACCTGGTGATGAGTACAGCCACATCATGATGAACAGGGTGCTCATCGCCCTTCACGTTGAGGTTTTTCTGCCATCTACAGAAGCTATTCAAACTGTTGTCTGCATGGTGGGTTATTTTGAGGCCTTCCTGACAGGAAAAAAAACAACAATTGTGAACGTCTTTCTCCCCTCTCTCCTGCGCTCTGCTTAATACTGCACTCCAGCACAGCCGTTAGAGTGCGGTATAACAGTCAAGAACCTCAGGGTATGAAAGCTTTTCCGAGTTAAGGAGTAGCTCTTCACTAGCCTTAGGCATTCAAGACTGGCTTGGCGTTTTAGCAGACAGCAGTCGTCTCAGCAATGGAGCATAAAAACACCCTTACCTATACACTCCAGCTTCATTCCTTTCCTAATGCTATTTGTCAAAACAAATTCAAGAGCCGTTTCCCCAAATGAACAGAGAAAATCACCTCAAGGCTTATACCACGCAAAATTATATGTCTGAATAAGATTATATATTGCTTTGGGGGGGGGCAACACAAAACTCCAGGGACAATTAGGAGTTCTGCCCCTTGGGGGCAAAAGACAGGAACACGGAGTGTGTGCAATCGTGGTGAGTAGTTTAATGACTCGTTGAGGGAAAGCCTTACCATGCTTGGTAAACATTGCTTGAAGTACAAACTGAACAGGCTTTTAGTTAAAGATTCTGGAGGCATATGAATGCAGTCATTACTCTAATTAATCTAGTTGCAGTGCACCTGGGAGAGTGCTGATGCCTACCTGAGCTCTGTGTGGAACAGATACCACTACAGTATGTAATTAAACTCAATAGAGAAGCTGTGCTCTGTAACCTAATTCAGACTCCAGGAGGTCACTGTGCTTCATAACGTCCCATCTCCTTTACCTCCTTCAAACATTAAATTAGCACATTTGGGGTTTTACACAAGAGGAAGTAGAAAATATTTAACTTTAGTAATGACAATGTATGACAGAAGAATTGGTAGGCCATGCTTTAAAAAATCTCCCCGAGCACAGCTATGTCTGTGACATTTTGAAATCCCTGCATTATCATTATGTGGTGTGAAATTCATCTTCGCTTCCCACGGACTGACAGATGACTGTGAATGATTCAATTAAGCCACAGGAAAAACTTAAAGTGATATGAATAATCTGCTGGAGCAAAAAACACATTACTTTGGGTGAGGAGTCCCCCGTTCCTCAGTCTTCAATCTAAAACTCAGATTAATAATTTGCTTGTGCTTGAGGATCATCTTCCAGTAGGTTAAATGAAAGACGTCTTTGTCAAAACCTACCCCCTTTCAAGCACTGGGTTTGTAACTTGCAATCATTTGCAAGCATCATTTTGAAATGTAATCTAATTTTAAATCTGCAAAATAAAGAATAGATTGTTTGAACAGATATGCATTTCCCCACATCTGTAGTGGTGTCTTTGGAAACTGTCAGTTTAGTTTAAATCAGCAGCAGAAAAGAGCTGTAAAATGCTTGTTCAAATCCCAGGGCTGCTAGTGTTGCACCCTTGCTAGTGTAAATGAGTCTCTAGATCACCAGTTTAAATGAGAATTTGTTCTCAAATGACATATGTGGTCAAAAAGGTAATTAAAAAAGGTTTCTTCAACACCATTCATGCAATGAAATGGCACATGAACCTTTTTGTAAAAGGAGAACAAAAAGCTGCCAACTTGCCTATAGTTATGCTGATTTACATTCATGTATGTCTCTCTAAAACAAAACTGTCCGGAGATTTGCATTCAAGCATTCTAGGCAGAAAACGAGCACGTCTCTTGAAAAGATTGGTCAAACCACTTTACAACACCTCATAAGCATGCATTATGTTTTTTTGTGGGTAGAGAAGGAAAAACATTGTTATTTATGAGCATTTGTGTTCATATGCCATTCTCCCATGCCATGATATTCTCTTTGGTTTTTAAAAGGACAAAAGTAGAACACAGGAAAGGTTGTAATGAGAGGAGGCCATTCGCCCCATGTTACTCACTAATTTAATGATTTCTAATTTAGGAGCAAAATGAATCTAAGCCTTTCTCCAACTGTTTCTGAATAGAGCCTAGAGTTTGGGTCTTTATCAAAAGCCCAAGCGCTGTTTTGAGTCTCTTGTACAGGATGTACTCATTTCGGAGGCTTAGGAGCAGCATGTTCATCTGCAACTGACAGTATTTTTAAAAAAGTTCTACTGATTTAAGAGGAAGTTAAAAAATGCAGACTCTGAGAACTACAGTAAGACCCTGACAATTCGTGGTAATGATCTTTCCTTGAGCTTGATCTTTAAGGAGACAAGGATGACTCACCTTTGAAGCCTCCATTAGCATTCAATCTACAGTATTTCAAAGTTCACTAACTATCTGTCCATGTAACCTCTAGTGCTAATTAAACTAAAACCGCTGTAACAGAAGGCAGTGCCCATTTACATAAAAGCAACTCAAATTTCCCCTTAAGTGACCCCTAAACTGAACGAGAGAATGAGAAGATCAACAGTATTTCTATGAATCCACAAGAAGGCCCAGGCTCGCCCCTCCTACCTCTTCCTCTTCCAGCAGAATCAACCGTACCACCACGATGTGAATAGAATTGCCAATGCTGGCATCGTGGAATAATCCGGCAACCTAGAACAGAGACAAATACCACAATGAGGTGTGTGACAGTGGACCAATATGGTGTCCTTCTGCTTCAGGATCTCAGCAGCCCTCCTGTTTGCTACGGGGCTAAATGATCCAAAATCAATCCCCACACACTGCCCTCAACACCGTGACAAGGACACTAACAGATACCAGGACAGCTCTCCGTGATTCATTTCTCCAAATGTACCATGTTAGTGGAGAGATTAAATAATAAATTATTAGCCCAATGTGTCAATGCCACGGGGTAATTTTTTCTACAGTACCTTTGCTTTTCATTTTTCCTGAATATCGTTTTGTTGTGTCAAGTGTAAAGATCTTTTCTGAGTAATCCTTTTTGTTTGCTGCATTCCTGAAGAACAAATAAGCATTTATGAAATTGCTCCCCACTTCGCTATATGTTTTAAAATAACAACTATGGTGCTTTGTCATAGTAAAAAAAAAACAATTTAACAAACACTGAAAAGAACTTTTTCTTCACTGTCCTTCAGAATACGTTATGAGAGGCCTGTGTGGTATCCATAGCAACTGGAAGAAATTCTGACCTCAGACTCATTTGTGGGCGAAAAGTAGGAATTAATTTCGTACTTCAGAGTTTTCCCAAGAATGTTCTCATTTAAGCATAAAATTGAGGATAATTTCTTTAAAACGTCAGCACTATTCTTTTCTATGGCACTGTTTAAAAAAATTAAATGAATGCATATTATTGAATTGAATTCAATAAGGTTAGTTATTGCACATAACTTAATAACCGCTCAAGAAGTACTTATTCTTACTCAGCCTAAGAAGTGGTCTTCAACCTTTACTTGTCTGCAAGGTGTGAGGAACCTTCTGACACTACATATAATTTGAACTATTTTGTTATCTGTAGGGGGTGTTTTTTTTTTCTTAAATGTGTTTTGCTGGAAAATAAAGGACTATTTTTTTTTATTAACAATAGGAAAATCTGCTGCAACATTTCGCTAACTCTTATAACTAATTCATTGCAGATGTCAGGTGTTTTAAAGGAGGATTAGCTTGTCTGCGTGAGAAGATCTACTTCTAGCTGCTCCTGCGGGAATGTGAAACAGACAGTTCAGCTTGGGACAGGAGTAATTTGATTTTATTTTTTGCTGTGCAGTTAGCAGACTAGAAATCCCTTTTTTTCAGAGCAACCTTAAAAGAAACCCTGTGAAGACTGTGGTAACTTTAAAGCCAGCCAATGAGGTATAACAGGTATCTTCTGTTCCACTTATACTTTGTTAATAAGAAACCAGACTGGGTGGAAATTCTACATAGCCAGGTAGGCTTCCTTATCCCTTAAGTTATATTGCATTCCTTTTCCACACAACTCATGCAGGAAGTATGGAGCTAGAGTCATCTGTGCAAAATTCAGCTCATTAACAATGACTTGTCAACAGTCTGTTATCACTCCATCAGAAGGAATTTTCATCTGGAACTTTTTCTGTGCCAGCTTTATATTTACCACACAATGTACAAAGAGACTCATTCATCCCAAAGCTGGCTGTTTTGGAGTTTTCCCTGCAGCCGCAGAGGAAACCCTTCATTGAAAAGGATAGTGCCACAGCTAGGCAACAGTAATACACTCTTCAGCCAGCACTCCACCAGCTGATCGCTGTATCTGGCTGACCAATGACTGCTCAAAACGCTGATTACAATACTCTGCCTCTGCTCCTGCTGAATGCTTTTCACCCTGAATGACCAAAAACAGCTATTCTAACTCTGTCTTATAACAGCATGAATGTTTACATTTGAATTTCAAATAGATGAATACTTATTGATTACTTATTAGTTTCACTTATTTAAAACATATCTACTGGCTTGTTAGATGCCATTTCTCTATCTTGATACTTGCCTGCCATTGTTTTTTTCTACACAACAGATGGCACTGGGTGGTATGGTGGTTTCTGGTGTGACTCACAGTTCTTGGGTCCTGGGATTGATTCTGCCCTCTGGCTGTTTCCATGTTCTCCCTAGGTCTTTGTGAGTTTTCTCCAGGTGCGCTGGATTCCAAAAGAAAGCTGCCTGGATTAACTAGCTGGCTCTAGATTCTCCTTGTGTGCCCTGTGATGGATAAACATCTCCCACAGCTGTAGGCCTGCCTAAGGATTAGGTAGGCTCTGGTGACCTTTACACCAGGAATGGGTGGCTTTCTGATAACAGATTATGTTTAAATAGAAGGTATTTAATTTTGAGCAATTAAAAAAAACATTTGTCCAGGATTAGAGCTAAATCTGCCTTGAATATCTGTGAGGCAGCAGATCAGAACACTTCGTGGGAGGCCACAGAGGTGTTTCCTTTGTGTAAAAATGCTTCCACGGCAACCGTGCAGTACATACAGTTAATCCTGCTCCCCGGGGGCTTCTCTTCTTCAGCACCACGTCCCATGTAAGTGTGAATGACGGAACTGATCGGATTTTAAAACATCATCAAGGTGCAACAGATGTTGATTATACCACCGATCTTGGACTATACCAGCGTTAGTCTTGAACAGCGAAGAAATTAAGTAACCAGAATCCTTTATGTTGCTGATAAAGTCAAACCTTGCAGACCTCAGCACACAAGTGGAAACTAGAGGGACGTGCAATTGAAATCCAAAACAGGAGGCACTTCTATACACAAAGCTACCAACTAGCAGACTTGCTCCCATGTGCACCCATTCTACTATTCTTACATTCCTACTGTGTGTACAAAATCCAAAAGAACATTGATGGCATGTTGGATACTTTACAGTGGAGTATCACTATTGAAAGGAACTACTAAAACTAAGTTTACATTGCACTCTAGGTTACTGTTAAAATATTTTGGACTGCTTTACATCAGATTAAGATCCTTCTAAGAATCAATTTATTTTCCAAGCATCTACCATGTCTGCAGTAATAATTTCTCACAATGCCAAAGCATCTTTACTTTACTTGACAAGATGAAATCTAGAATGAGAGATCCTCCGACGATTGCTTTAAAATGTGACTAACTGCTTAATGGGGCCCTTAACTGAAAAGGGCTCAAAGGGGCATTTCCAGATAAGAATCCAGTCACCTCGGTTCACATATCGTACTATGAAAAGTGCTAGTCAATGAATTATATATAATTTAAGTTAAATCAGTGCTTTTTAACTGGCTGTCATGTGTTGTCACCCTTTTCCAGGAATTAGCTAGGATCCAGAGCTGTACTGGACAACAAGCCAGGCCTGTGATGTGGTTCCAGCCAGAATGATCCAATGCCATTGGATACATCAGTATCAGCAGGAAGTGTGATACCAGGCCAATCTCAGCTTCCAGATAAACCTGTGCAGCTGATGCCTTTACCCAGTGTATCCAAGAACAAGATCTTAACTTGGCAATCACAGCTGACCACACTTCAGCTTTACAGATCCCTTCCATTTTAAAATCTAGAGGCGACAAGCTTGAGGGTCCGCAGCATTCCCAGTTTTCCAGAGCACGCGGGAATCTTGCAGTTTTAAAACCAAAAGAGGTGGGGGGGGAGGGCGGTGACTCACGATGTTCATGACGGTCAGTACGTAGGTCTCCACCTGCTGGCTGCCGTGGTACTGCACCATCTTGGGGTCGGCCACCACCAGAGTCTCCACCCACTTCTCCCGGCTGATGGAGCGCTGGCGAATCCGGCGCCTCTGCTGCCGCCGTTCCCACCGCTCCCGCCGGCGCTCCGCCCGCTCCCCGCCGTCCCGCGAGTCTGAGACAGCGAGCACAGCTCGGTCAAAGCGTGGCTTTCAGTGAGCTCCGTTGGGATAATGATGAGGCATTTTTTGTTTTCTGTTAACTGGTTCTCACTAGTGTCTCAGATGGAATCTGTTTATACTCTGATCATAAATCCATTTTCTACCCGCTTGATCCAATACCGGCTCGCGGGGGGAAACGGATTCAATCCCAGCAAGCAACAGAAACAAGGCAGGATTCACCCTGGACAGGACCCCAGTCCATCGCAGGGCACGGACTCACATCAGGGCCACTTTTTAAAGAAGCTGATTAACCAGTACGTGTTTGGACGGTGTGAGGAAAACGGAGCACCCTAAGGACACCCACGCAAACACGGGGAGAACATGCAAACGCCACAGAAACAGCACGCCAGGAACTCAACTCAAGGCTCCAGAGCTGTGAAGCAGCAGTGCTAGCCACTGCATCACCATACAACCCACAGCCTGGTCAATTAACAGAAAATTGCAATGCATGTACTTCTATTGCTTATTTGCTCATTCGCCAGGCTGTACAGGCTGGTGTAGGAAGGGATCAAATTAAACTGCTGCTGCTTCTGCACAAGCCTACAGATGCAAGATGAAAGAAACACGATATGTTTAAATGTTACAAAGATAAAAACTCAGAAGGCATTCTGAATTAAAAGGCTTTTGAGAACAGTACAGAGAGTCATGAAAAAATAAGTATATCCGTTTGCATGAAACAAAACACACGTCTTTAATGCTTTTAAAGATGAGCAATACAGTGGCTCTGTTTCCTTAGCTCATTAATCTTCATGGAATTGCAAAAAACTGCTGCTGGAGATAGAGAGAACCCTTCAAAGGATTTTTTTTAAAAATTAGAATTCAAATATTTTTTTCACTTTTTTGAAAGTAGAACAAAATATCATGCTTTAATGCCAGCTATAATATACTACATTTAGCCTCAATCTGTGGTCCCTCCACTGTTTAATTTTGATTTTACTACGTCCAGTTCCTCTATTATTTTCATGGGCATTGAGGCACGGGTTGTTTCAAAGTCCTGGCTTCGTCAAGACTGAGTGAAATCATCAGTTAGCTGCTGACTACCAGGTGGGCTAGATGGTCTCTTCTTGTTTGCAACATTTCTGATGTCCTTAAGTGCTTCAGCAGGGCTAACTGCAAGAGCCAGAAGTGGAGCAGTCCTGCTTTATTATTTATAGGAAACCCAGTCATGACTGCAGCCTTTTCCCCCTGTGTGGTCTGCAATCATTCTGCAAGTGACAGAGCACCTCTAATGCAGTGAAGTTTCAGCCTGCTGTTTCGCTTTCCACTGATCTGCAACATCACCCTTGCTTTGGATAGCAGATCATGGTGGTGGGGATATAGAAGTGGCGCATCTTCAGAGCTCATTAAGTGGCCTCTGACGTAAGCTACGTAATTGCTATTATTAAACAGCATTGACAACACAACTGCTTGTTTTGTTCAGTAGAACAGGAGAGAAATGACACCTTACCTTTCACTCCACATGTCCCATTGACCCTGTGCTCCTCATAGGAGTGACTCAGGGGTGCAGGGGCGTGCCGTTTGTAAATCACATGTGCCTGAGCCACGCCCTGCTCTCTCACTGGCTCCACAGGCCTGATGAAGAAATCCTCTTCAGACAGTTTGAACAACCCTGTCTGAGGACACAGAGAACTTTCTCACAGTGATGGAAGAGCAGCTGACTGTTCGAGTACAGTATAGAAAAAAACAACCCGCAACATGCTGAGCTTGGAAGTTTGTCCTTTCTTTGTTTTCTTGTTTGAACTTGACAACAAAATTAGACTAAAAAATAAGTGGAAAAGGTGCAATATTTGAGAGTAAATGATGAAATGATCGCAAATTACCCGCCTCATCCAGACAGCTTTGAAGGTCGTGGGAGTGAAACAGCACCCCTCCCTGCAGACAATCTTTGAAACATCCATAATCAAACAGGCAAGACAAATTCTAGCAGATCCTTCCCACCTCCTCAACTCTGAATATCAACTTCTTTATTCTGGCAAACATTTTAGGGTTCCCAAATATAAGTCAAACAGATACAAACATTCCATTGTTCCACTATCCATTAGAGCTGTCAACGCAAATGTCAAGGGTAAACACAATTTTGACTCTTACAACCCACTTGAGTGCAATATGTTTTGTGACACATTTTAAATGTTACACGTTGTTATGTGTTATACTGTACATGTACAATAGAGTGATTTGCAATGTTTTTCTTATTTTTTGTAATAGAATAATGTGCAATGTTTTTCTTTTTCTTTGTTTGCATTCTATTTAAATGTACAGGAGTGCTGTGTGTCCATACAAAATGGACCTCAGGTTACAATAAAATCTTATCTTAACCACTTGCTTCTTTGGATCTAAATTAATCAATCAGGATAAGATATGTGATAAAAATAGATTTCAGCTGAACAGCTACTGTACTTGCTAAGTTTCTGTGTTTGTTTTATAACTGAAGAGTTATGTTAATCTCAGCAGAAAATGAAACAGCCCCCTCCCAACAATGCTTGAACACAGGCTTGTAGTTGTGTGGTTTTCATGTGTGAGGCTTATCTATATCATTTGAAAATCTATTCTATGCTCTCATGCAAAGAGATGCTTCAAAATGGATGCTTCCTTTCATGCTCAGAAGAGATTGTTCTCCATATCAGTGTCCCCAATACCCAGAGGCTCAATGGATGGAAACATTATTAAAGGTGTTACTCTCTCCTTTCTCCCTCACTGGATCCTATTGAGTAGACACACAGCCAATGACAGCTTGAGGCTTTTGGCAGTTTTAAAAGAAGCACTGGTGTGTAATAGATGCACACTCAGATTTTCATAAAAGTTTCAAAACATCACCCTAAAGAAACATTTTCAGGACTCTCAGACTTGGAAAGATTGCTGTGACTCATTTGAAGTTCGATGAAAATGGAGCAAAATTTGTAGCGAAGCACAAAGTCTGGAAAGATCTGAAGTTGATATTCATAACTGTGCCCACCATACTCAAAATAAGCTAGTATTATTCATTTGTTGAATTAATAAAACTTATAATTTCTTTCAAAATATGTGTCCATTTCTAGATTTCCTTCTTTTGCTAAAATGTTAAAAAGTGTGGTGGCATCTGAATTGTAAGAGCATTTGACAAAATAATCAGTGCTTTCAATATTTTCAGTCCGATTTTTTTTTGCTGAAACCAAAACAGCTCTGGATAAGGTGGGTGATGGTTTCACTGTGTCTTGATGTGTCGGTATAGCTGGAATTACTTTTGATTTGTTAAGATCCCACCTGTCTGGTCAAAAGCAAGGGTGTTCCATATGGCTCGGTGCCTCTCCTTTTCTGGTGTCTATGTGTTGCAACTACAGCAAGGTGATTCTAATGCTGATCATATTTAGATTTATGTCTTCGGAGATTAAGCCTGGCACTGTTGGTGCTGTCCCTGCCCATTTAACTTGCCTGGCAGAAATTAAGTAATGGATGAAGAAAGATGTTTTGCATCTTAATAAGAGAGAAATGCTTGGCTTACTTTTGTCCATTTTGTTCCTATGTTACTGGGGTTTGAGTTGATGTTTTGTGTGTTTTCTAGAGTAGATTACAGTAGGGTTATGTTAGCTGTGACCTCTACTGTATATCCAGGTTCATTATTCCTATTTTAGCAGTTTTGAATTTGCTACCTGTAAAGTTTAGGATTTTTTTAACTGACAATAAGGCCTTAACTCTGCCTCTAGATAAGACCTATATCCATTATGGTACCTTAGATGAAGTGACTCTGTTATTAAATGTCCATAAAACAAAGAACCATACTATGGGGTCATAAGGCCTTCTGCAAGTAAGCATCTGGAATGCCCAACCCTGTACAAATGGAGAGTTTGGATTGTTGTCCAAGACACCATAAAACCCCTTTTAAACTCGCTTTTCTTGATTTTTACAATAGACTGTACTTGTTTATATAAGGTAAGATTTTGTTTTACAGTGTTTCATCTTGTCTTCATTTGTTACGCTCGTCTCCTTTTGTGACCTTACTTTGCAAAGTGTCTAACATAAAAGGTTTTACATAAAAGAACCATCATAAAGTGTTTTGAGTTACGAATCGCTAAAAGTCAGCTCTCTTCTTCCTTTCAGAAGACAGAGTCAAGAAGATTTCTGAGAACAAAGGTAGAAATGGCTATCACGTTTTCTTTTTGTACCACACAAATTCAAGCATTTAACAGTCCGTAGCTAAACACTAGTTTTCCAGTCTGAATCTATTTATTACAAGAGTTTGGCAACATGATTATCTGGTAACACCTGGATTACAGATGAATTACAAGAGGAGGCCTGTCAGCTTTCTCCTGGAACATGACTGGGAACCCACTGTGCCAACATGCCATCTGAAGCTTTAACAACACCACAATCTGCTAATTATTCTATGGCTGCAGGCAGGTTAGTGCTATACTATACTCCATTATTTGTCTGAAAGGACAGGAATTTGTATGAATCCAGAAGTTTTTCCTAGCCTAGCGGGACAGTTCCAACTTTGGTACGTAATTTGAAAGGTTAATGAGCAATATCTTATAACACCTTAATACTTTAAGACCCCGTTTGATAAACCCGCAGTGTAGATTCTTCACAACAGGCAGCTTGGACATTAATATTCATTACAAAATCAACAAACTCGTTTTCAGTGCTGTCTCCAAAACGGAATGATGTAGCCTGTTTCACCAAACTTTGGACTTTCTGGCAGCCGTTATGAGTGCTTTAGTTATTCATATGGTACTATGGTTAGAAAAACAGTCTCTATAGTCATGTTTTTTTACATTTAATCAACAAACGTGTCTTGAAAAACAAAGTAATCAATAGTGACTAATGCCTTTAGTCAAAAATATAATTTCCCTGGCACGGCGAACCATAGATGTTAAACAGAGTTTAAACAATTTTGGCTAAACCTCTTGTGATCTTTTAGTGTTATCCTCCAAAGCACGTGCATAATAAATTTTAATAATATATGGGCTATTTTATTTAGAAAAAAATCCTAAAACTGGTCATATAATTAAGTTCAGAGAGAGAGAGGTAAATGTCAATCTTTTAACAGGGTGCAACAGAAGCTGCTTGATACAGCACATGTCATTGTTTCTTTGATTTTTTTACCACTGAATCAGCGCATTGGGACCTTTCCTTGGTATCCTCACAGCAGATGGCACTACGGACCAGGAGCTGGGCAAATTAAAATCAGACATTTAACAGCCTACACACGTCCATCCGTGCTTGGGACTATGAACGAGAGCTTGGTTTCACCATCATGCAGCTCAGCTCATTATTTTCCAGATCAGCACAAACGCCGGAGGTGTTTTCCCTACAACCCGGTTCTTACTGGAGGTCCGGAAGTGAAAGGCCTTGAGAGACCCGTGAATGAGCCCCTTCATGGCCCACATCCTCCCCCAACCCCTCCCCCCCTCCTTCCAACCCGAGGTTCGCTGTGTTGCTTTCGTCCCACGGCTGCTGTACCAGAGGGTCCGAGACTCACCAGGCCGTTGCAGGTGCTGACCGCCGCCCTGCCCCGGAAGGTCACTTCGTCCCACACTTCCCCCGTGAAGTAACAGAGGGAAGGGACGTGGGTTCGGATCTTGGCCCCCGTCAGGCCCCCGTACCGCCTCTCGGTTACGAAGCCCGGAGCCAGGAGGTGCGGGTTGAAGGTGAGGTTGAAGAGCAGGTCCCGCCTGCCGTGGCGTAGCTGGTAGAAGACGCGCGTGCCCCCGTCGTGCGAGGACGTGTCCCGCCTGTGGAGCCGGCTCACGTGGTGGGACAGCGAGTGGGACACAAACCGTCCAACGGCGTCCACCTTGGAGGGGTGGACCACCTCGTACTGACCCAGTCCCTGAAGGTCATCGTCTGAAAGGGATGGAGCAGAGGCTGTGACTGGCCGCACGTGAGAATACCCTTCCTCACTTCACCAGGCCACGTGTCAAGTGCTCGTCTGGAGCAGAAAAATCTGTCTATTTGACAGAATGAAGCAAACAGCATTTTACAAACAGCACCCACAGTAGAGTCAGAAGGACCACTGCATAGGAACCGCAACCTATATATAAAATGCAGTAATCTGGTGCTGAAAGTGCTGTGAACCTTATGTTTTTCTCAGACGCTTATGAAGCATCTTTCTGTTTTCCAGGCTACAATGAATCAAGGACTCGCACATGTTCCAGTGAGGTCAGCTTCAGACCAAGACTGATGAGCTGACAATGCCAACGTGAGCAGCGACAGAATGATGGCACCGAGGACAGAGTCAGAACCCTGAAGATCACCACACTGTGAAAGAAACGGCTCCCTGTACCTCACGGTCAGCTCAAAGGACAAATGTCAGCCCATTTATTATATCTATAGAGTTGACTGACATTTCTGTCCAAAGCAAAAGTGTCAGTCAACTTAATTTGCACCTGTCTGGACAACTGGGTATTTTTAATGGGTCAGGTTGGGTGAGGTACCTTGCTCTCAGCTTGCACTTTCAAGTCCAACACCCTAACCACTGCACCATTTTAAAAACCCGCTTGATAATCTGGGATCACAACGCCCAAGTTGTCATGTTATTTAGTCATCACAATAACAAAAAGCAAAACCTCTGTGATGGAAAAAGGAAGGAAACATCACACTTTAAACTTTAAACCATTATTCATTTGGCATCTATCCATCACAGTGTGAGCTATTCTGCACAATTGCGCTGTCCTCCAGCAAAATAGGAAATGAAAGTAAAATCAGCAAAATTATAGCTGGCATTAACATCATCATTCTTTTCATCTTGACATCACAAGCCAGAAATATAAAATGCACTTCTAATAATTTAATGTAGCATTAGCTTTTAAAGAAAGACTTATACTCGCCCCTGATCCCGTCTATTACATACACCATGAGTTGAGCTGTAACTACTGAGTGTAAGATATTTAAATATGGACTGCTACCAACATACCACAAAAATGATTTTCTTGCTGCAAACTGGGGAAGAATATGTTTTAACAGTATTCCGTATCTTAGTGCACATCTGTTCTCCAATAAAATGCACTATAATAGATCAATATCGGGATCCCCTAGTAAACAGTGTGTCACTTCTGTTAATACTAACTGACTTCATGCTGTGGTGCTGAGAATCCTTAATGTTTCTGCATCCCAGCATTCTCTTACAATCCAAAGGAATCAGGAAAAAATCTTTTTTTCAGACCACCAGAGATTGTTTAAGCTAATGGGTTCACTTCTCCTGGTCCACCCTTAAGTTAAACAGAAATCGCTAAACAGGGTCAGTGCAACTACCCCCAAGTGTTCCAAAAAGCACTTCTGGCTTAATTGCCCACTTGTCTGATTCAGAATGTACTAAACACATGAGGAACAGGAATAATGTTGCAACAAAAACTATATCTTGACACAGAATGGTTGCAATACAATATACAGTAGCGTCTACAACAAAGTATTCCAACAAATCTTTTTATCTTATATTTAATATATTCTAATGAAAAGCACTTATTCGGGAGCCTCAAAATAAGTGATTAATTTAGGATAATTTGACATTTCCTTTTGGAACTTCAAAAAAAAAGAACAGTGTTCCGATTCTGCCTCTGTGCAGGTAGCAAGCTCATTCTGTAAAGGTTAATGCCACTTCAGGACAAACAAAGCAATAACAGAGAAGACTGAGCACAGTGAGTGAAGATTAGTGCCGGGGTTAAAACAGAAGAAAGTCAAATCAGCACTTCTTTTGCACTTGAGTTCTCTGGAGACTACTGTTAAGGCATACATTTTTAAACAGTAAAAAAAAAAAAGAAAAAGAATTTGATAGCCGCGGAGTTTGACATAAAACATTTCCTGAGCACAGTAAAAAACACTTTCAGAATTTGGAATTTAAAAATCCTGTGGCTGAAGGCTGACGGCTGACCGAGGAAGGAGTTGAAGTGGAGAAAAGCATTGCAAGGGCTTAGATCGGTGTCTGTACCCCACATAAGGTGTGGTGGAAGAGCGACACCAAAACGTTGACAATGCATGACAGCTGCACGTCCCGATGAGCACTGTGTTACAGAAAACAACACGTAAAATATTTTCTGGAAGGGAATTCAGATTAAAGGAAGGATAACAGCTTTCTGGTACAAACTGGGGCTTAAATTATCTAACACCAAAGATTTTTTTTTTAAAAGTCTCTTCTGCAAATCATTTGGAATCCCAAGGAGTGAGCGCACATCCACTCCAAATCTCATTCTTGTTCGTGGTATTCCAATTCCATTTTATTAATTTTATTTGCCTCCTGCGACAAAACAGAAAAAAAAATGGAAAATCCTGTGGCACTGAATTATATAATATGTAACGTATTTTGAAGAACAAATTTGCAAAAGCAATGAAAGGACTCACTTTATGTGAATAATGCAAACGAATAACGAAGAAAGAGAAATTGGTGAATCACTTGCCTGGCTCAGTGCTCTCAGATGGTTCAAATGTATTTTAGCTCATTTGTATAAAGAACGTTGTTTATAAACTTACTTTTAACTTGCCTAATGATAAACGCTAAGCAGAACTCTCTCTTCACACCAAGCACTCATACAGTAAATAATAATTACGAAATGCGAAACCCCAAGATTTGTTCTTCATTGTATGTTTCAGGTAAAAAAGAAAAGCCTGCTGACAACACGAAATATAAACTCAAATAATAATAAAACAGTTGAAATGAGTCGCATGTCGTAATGTTGTTGATAATAAGGGCTCCGAAATCCAAACTTTTCGAGTTGTTTAATTGCACGGACGTCACTCACCTCGATCTTGTTGATGTGCAAATGTTTTGCCGTTGCCCACAAGAGCTAAAATCCCTGCCGCTACCATGAAGCGAGCACAAGTTTGTATGAAAACTTTGGAGTCCGTAGGTTCGTTGTCCCACAAAACTAGCATTGTTAGAGCAGATGGAGAGTTAAACACAAAAAAGTAATTCAAGATTCCTTAACCCTGCAAGCCGACTGTCATTTCACAGAAGGTGGATTTTTTTAAGGATTAGTGCATAACTGAAAACAGTTGCCAAACAATTTTAGGTTAAAACGCTACGGTTTAGTCTACCGTAAAAAGATTACGGTTTCTTGGAAGCAGAACGAAGAACAAGTCGAGTTTTATACTGTTGAGTACCGGGCTCACTGGTCATCGGGATAATGTTTCTCTCTGTCACCGCTTTCTATTCAGTTTGCTGAAACTTCTTAGCAAATAGGGTTTCGCCATCCCCCGAAATAGTAGGTCCGTTTGGTTGTTTGCTCGCTAGTTTGACTTGGTTTAGACTTCTTCCTCTTAAAAGCATCCAAATCTGTGGAACTATTGCGGCTCAAAAGTTTTCCTAAGAAGTTAGCAAAACTGTGAATCTGAAACGCCCTGCCTTCATAACGCTGGTATCACTGTGGGAGGACTTCATTGTGAATGTTTCTTTGGGATAAGAGGTCCGGTGCCGAAACAAAGGAGAAAGAAGGAATTCATTGATGTCCTAGAACGCTCGCCTCTCGCCACAGGAAGACCCGGCAATGTGTGAGCACATTGTCCCAGGACAACACAACCAAACTCTGGTCTAGGACCGACAAGGGAAATTCTCTTAGCGAGAACTGTTTTTTTTTTTTGTAGACACTCATTTTTGGATTGGATTATTTTCGCTATAATGGGATAGTGAGGTCAAAAAAAACTTTCATTTTTATAACACCGCTAATATCGTCAATAACTAAAAGAATAAATCAAAAACTATGATTATACTATGATGACTACAATAATATGAACTAGGACAAGTCTGCGGGAGCCCCCAGGAGGCGGAAAAGAATTGCTCTATTCATAAAGCATTATAAATGTTTACGCTGCCTTGAAGACCATTATGAAGTATTGGGAACTAGTATGAATATGAAGAAAGAGCTAATATGAAAATGAATACTGTGCGGTTTTCACACGCAAGGTCGCACATCACAGTCAAACGCTATACTTTAGTCTTTCTTTGTTTTTTTAAGGTTCCTAGAACAAAGTTTTGCCCATGGTAATTATCATTCTGTGTGGCAACGTATAGTAAATTGCTTGACTGATAGTGCAACATTCTTAAAATAGCAATCAATAATGCCGACACAACGAGCTCGAGTGTAAGTTATAATTATAGCCCAGAGAAGAACTATTCAGCGCTTGTCAGATTCATTTACTGTCTACACTCATCTGTGGGGCTCTTCTGACGTTTGTCTGTGTACATCCGCAGGACCGTGATTCAGCACAGCAATTACCCACAGCAGGAAAAAAAATGCCTTTTATCAAAAACTGGAGCTGCGATATATGCAGTGAATATGAAGCGATAAGGGCGCTGTAGTAAGACTGAAATACAGTATGAGCTGGGACGGTTCTGTGGCTAGATTGGAAATACCAAAGTGTACCCGACAAAAACTCTTGTCGTTCAAGTCAAATTATAATGTTTTTTTACAGTATAAATTGTACGATACTACATATAATCGTATTGTTAATTGGCAGACTTCTAACATTCGAATTCACTGAATTGAGTTATTTAGCGCTCATTTGTTTACCCGCGATTATCTTCGCTCCGCGCGCCCTCTAGTGAAAAGAGAGCGGTATTTTCAACAGCAACGAACGCCCTGTTTTCCAGTCCATGATCTTGGAAAGCTAGCTACGCTATTAATATTTCATTTTCAACACACATTCTGATTAGAAACAATCCATAATTTCCTTAATCCAATATTTGCTTTGCACGCTTTACATCTGCCCAGATCAATGTAACCGATGAACGCCTTTAAAACATCGAAACAGAGATGATCGATATATTGTTTGTTCCAAAGAATGACACGCCATTGTACAGCGTTGATCTTGGATTTCGGATAGTGGGTAACTTAAAGGAATGACAACGTACAAAAATATGGATAACATATTAGCCAGGAAACTTCAACATGAGAAAAAACTAATGAAATATTCCATGAAACAAATGAAGGTTTCTTACTGGTTTTGCTTATACGTTTTCGGGTGTTAAGAACAAAAACAAAACGATGAGAAACGACTAAAGAACCAGATGCCATTAATTGAAATCAAGACATTATTAAATGGAAACTGGTCTTCTTTCTAAAGCCCTGTCGTGACCGAGATTTAGTAGGGAGAGACCATCACCAGACATCATCCAGGGAATTATAAACTTAGACAGCATTGACTTTCGAATTCTACACGAAGAACGACTTGCTCAGACCGCTCTTTGTACTTCTGGGAAGATGCAAACCTGGAGAATAGTTTTGAGCAGTCCAGTCGCAGCACCACAGCCAAGACAAAGAGCCTGAGCATCGCAGGTCTTCTAATCACCAGATTCGGCCATTTCCATGTGGAACATCCGACATATCTGTCCTGCCTTAACCCTGTCTTCGCCCTGTTGCTTAGCGCTCCTACATGGGCAGTACAATACGGTCAGGATGCTTCATCCGAGATTTTGGTGATGAGGCTGTGACGGTGTTATTCAGGGAATGCAGACACCTCTAAAACTGTAGCATCTCGTCTTATTTGCGTTTGAAAAAAAAATTGCCACTCACATCCTGTAACCTCAATTAAAATTGTTTTCATTGTGGCTTGTCACAGCTTGGCCAGATCAGTTCGCTGTTCCTTCAGCACCCCGAGCACGAAGCCCTGCTGATGCCAACTCAAGCAGAAATGTTCTGCAGTCAAAGAGAATTTTTCAAGTTATTCTCACAGAGAGCGCCTCTTGCAGCTCTGAGTAGCTGAGAATCTGCTAATTAGCGAATACACGAGGCCGGCCATTGAAGTACTGCGGCAGACCTGAAAGATCAGTGAAACTGCAGCATGGTGTAGGTCTAAATGTTTTCTTCTTCAATCGCTAATAAGGTATGAGATGTGACATTCGTGATAATAATCCAAATCACCGTAATAAAAAATAATTATTTACTTAAAGGTGAGGTGTATTATTATATAAAAGCAATAACGAGGAATATAGCAACAGAAACTGAAATGGAACAAGTAAAGGTTTATTCCCTGCTGAAAAGAGAAGAAAGGAAACACAACGTTTCGGCTTTGGAGCCAAGAAGGCTCCGAAACGTTGTGTTTCCTTTCTTCTCTTCTCTTTTCAGCAGGGAATAAACCTTTACTTGTTCCTTTGCAGCCTACGTACAGTATGCTGACGCACCTCCCTACTTGAACTACTTCAGAAACTGAAAGGGTCTGAATACATTTACATAATGTTCTAAAACATCCAGTCCCTGGATACTGAAATTATAGTATTTTGTGTCCATCCATAGATAAAGCTGTAGCTTATCCGACTAAATTCTAATTAAAACTGTATTTTGCTAAAGCTTTCTTACAAATTGTAAAGCCTGTTTTACACTCTTTTTTGAATGGGTGTATCCTATGTATTTTCTGCAAAAGGTAGCCAATGCCTAACAAATTCTATTGACACTATGTGTGAAATCACAGTCTCCATCAAACTGTGATATCCGTCGCCTTATTTTTTACAGAACATTTGGCTGTATACAAGCATTATGGATAACTGCATTGACATAACGGTACTCGGTATAGTATATAGTGACTGATATAATAAACTAACAGGCATGGCAAACTCTTTGCACATCACCTCTTTCGGAGTTATAGACGCCCCAGCCTGCTTTTATCCTATCTGGTGGGTTGAAGACTTAAGAGCCCGTTTCAGCTTTCTACGCTGCCCGACACCCGTGCCAATCAAATTATACTATCCAACCCCCGCTTACCTGAGGCGGGCTCCGAGAAAGCGCACTTGCATTAAAAAGCTCGTGTTAGAAGCTTTTCATTCAGTAGCAGGTGATCACTGGGTACGCGTGACACAGGGCTGACCTGGGAAAATGGTAAAGAAATGTGAGCCCGTTTCCTTAAAAATATTTTGCCCGTACCTGAAAGTGACAGAGGTGTGGAAAGAAGAAGCGTCAAGATTGTTTTTAGAAAAATAAAAGTTGTAAAGTGCACGGGTGATGTTATCAGTAAACAGCCTGGTGCTGGCGAGAGCACCCTCAGTGGCATTTTTACCTGAAAGGATGGGGGACATTCTCAACTCCAGCGACAGCAGGAGGACAACGAACGCTTCTTTGGCAGACCTGCACAAATTCAGCAATTTGGACGACATCGATGTGACGGCGGACGGCAGCCCAGCTCTGAGGATTATGATCTCGCTGGTGTACTCGGTGGTGTGCGCTGCGGGGTTGGTGGGCAACCTGCTGGTCTTTTTCCTCATGAAGGTGAGACAAGGGAGAAAGAAATCCACCATCAACTTCTTCATTATCAACCTGGCGGTCACCGACTTCCAGTTTGTGCTGACTCTGCCATTCTGGGCGGTGGACACCGCTCTGGACTTCAGCTGGCCGTTCGGGGATGCGATGTGCAAGATCATTCTCTCCATCACAGTCATGAACATGTACGCAAGTGTGTTCTTTCTCACGGCCATGAGCATCACCCGTTACTGGTCCGTGGCCTCGGCCTTGAAGAACCGGAGCCGACAGATCACCTGTTCAGTGAAGTGGGTGAGCGCGCTGCTGTGGGTCTCGGCCACCGTGGCCACGGCCCCAACGGCCATCTTCTCAACGGTCACCACCGTGGCCGGAGAAAAGCTCTGTCTCCTCAGGTTCCCCGATGGTCAGTACTGGTTAGCGCTATACCACCTGCAGAAAATCATGATCGCCTTCGTCATTCCCATGTTGATAGTGTCCATCTGCTATCTGCTGCTCCTGCGGTTCCTCCGACAGCGCAGCATGAACAACAATAATCCAAAACGAAGGTCCAAAGTCACTAAATCCGTCACCATCGTGGTCCTTTCGTTCTTCTTATGTTGGATGCCCAATCACGCCATCACATTCTGGGGAGTTCTCGTCAAATTTAATGCGGTCCACTGGGATAAATCTTACTATATGGTTCACACCTACGTCTTTCCCGTCACGGTCTGCTTGGCTCATGCCAACAGCTGTTTGAACCCTATTCTGTACTGCCTCATGAGAAGAGAGTTCAGAAAGATGCTAAAGGATGTCTTCTGGCGGATTTCGTCCCCTACAATTTCCAACACCTGTCCCATCCGCCCGTTTTCTGGTTCCTTCAAACCTGAGCATGAAGATACACAAGTAGTTATCCCTCTCCACATCATTGAGAGCGAGCAGTGTAGACTGACGTCGGTCTTCAACGGGCGCTGTGACACTTTGCCTTCTTCAAGCGCCCTCATGCAGAAATAAAACAAGAGCGCTCAGAGAGCAGGATCTAATTTGAAAACTCACGAAACAATATGAAGAATACAATCCTCTCGCAAACTCTGATGTACTGTAAAAGGCAACATGAACGCACAAGGCAACGCGCAATTGCGAGACGTTTGTGCTGTGTTCCAAACGAGAAGCGACACCTGATCAGAGTCGCATCAAAGCAGAACTCTGTTTTGAGGAGGAAGGACAGCCGCCGCGGAGTTCAGTGCAGACTCTTACCTGATAAGTAACGAATGTAGCGTTCAAAAGCCAGCAACTAACAAGATCAAAAGACCGGCGTGAAAATGCACGGAAATCTGCAAAAGTATATCTGATTGTAATATTTCATACTGTTATATTTAAGTGTTAACGTGCCAAATTATTCTTCTACTACAGCGTGTCTATTGCAAACATTCGTGTGTCCGGTGTTGCTTTTTCATGACATGTTAAAAGCTGTGATAAGTGCTGTCTAGAAAAGATTCACTGCTTCTGGCATTTAACAACTAGCGCATGTCGGTTTCTGACTTGTCTTTCTCTATACAGTACATATACGACTATACCAAAATAATTTGAACCTTTATTTTCTATCAGTAAAACCCAAAATCGATTAACAGAGGCTTTAAGAACAGCAATCTTAACAAAAAACACACGATCAAACAGTATTTAAATCGAAAAGTTGCATACCCAATATTCTGTTATCTACACGATCTTTTAAAATATACTGGTCTGTTTAATGGCGTCTCTGTTTCACGTATGTAAAACTGTCATTTATCAAGTGAACCTCTAGATTTTTAACCAAGCTTGTTAAAGAATGAGCAACCGCTACAGCATATCAACGAACCCTTCACTGTATGTTCAAACTTTCACATCTTTTTTCTGTAACTGAGGTGAAGTGTTTCGAAAGACAGCAGAAATAAGAAATAATCTGAAGAAAACAATCTGAAATCGTAATATGGGGTAAAAAAAAATCCCCCCAAGAGAATTAGACCAAACAATTAAAGTACGATGTGGGTATATGGGAAAGCGTGAAAATGTTAAGAATTTTATTTTGTAATTAATACTGTCTGGTTATTGGCTTTGCTTTATTAGTTCCAGTGCGAGTACTCTATTAAGTACAGAATGTGCGCCAAAACCACACTTCATATAACCAAAGCATCATAATCACGCAAAGGTAACTCAAATTTCTATTGATCTGTTTACACCTGTGTCTGTACTATTCCTGTTTGGTTTTTTTTTCTGTGAGAGTTCATCTGTTAAGATTGTACCACAACCATTATGTCAATGTTTATGGATCAATTTTATCAAATTTTAGGAGAATGCATCGAAGGTGTAAATCTACTCAAATCAATAAATGTTATAAGAGTCCTTAAAATGTGTAGTCTTTGAAAGTGCGAATCGCCCAAAGAACTCCCTTTGGCCCTTGTTTATTTGACGAGAAATAAAAAGTATATTTAAATATAGCAAAACGGACTCGTTATATTTTGCACGGGCCATGGTTTTGCTGGTTTCTGGACTTTATCAGATCCCAAATACGTCCTTCGAACATTTACTTCCTACAAACAGTTGTTCAAAACGATCCCAATATTATTTTTCGGGTGCTGCGTCTTGTGGCAGCGTGATACCACCTCAACATGGTACTCCCTTACATCTGGCCGAAAGCCGTATTTTGGCCTAGATCTGCACAAACGCATTCCCTAAAGAAATAACTCGATTATCGCTCGAAGAATCGAAGCGACGTGGAAGACAATCGCAGCCTTTATTTTCCTGCAGACCGCGTCTGGTGGCTGTGCCACTGCAGAATGGTGACATGACGAGACCTTTTGGCAGCTGCCAGAAACCGTAAGATGTCAGTAAGAGGATGGTGTAATACACACAGAGTGAATTTATTGTGGCATTAAAACTTCTCACCTCTTTTCAAAAGGGACTGAGAACCCCCTTCTTCAGGCTACCTTGCTCATTGGCCCGAGTTGTGGTGATGGATATTTGAATTGTCTAGTGACATAATGGTTTCACTGATCTCACAGCACAAACCCCGACTTGGAAACTATCAGGCGTAGCAGCGCTCTGCTCAGCGTTTCAGTTGAAACTTGGCATGACATCACGAATCCCGACTTCACAGTTCTTCCGCTTGTACCTCTCATGCCCCCTCTTTACTGGGATTATGAAACCCAGTTGGTGTGAATTTCAATAGGATCGTGCGCTACCAGTTTGATCACAGAATCGAGAAGGTACCTTTTCAGACAGACGCGCACCATTAATATGACAATTCTTTCAATAAAGAGCAAAAAGCTCTGTGAATGGGAGGTGGCATTTCTTATAATCTCATACCGGATTCATCACCTATTTTGATGGTTAACAACACTGGATTGTTTTCCGCAAGGATGATATCCTATACATATTTTCCCTTATCACACACCCGCACAATAAACAGAGCAGGAATCAAGACAGTCTACCTGAAGCGCATCGGATTAATCGGGAAACTAAATCGCGTGGTTCGTTTGTTTTAAACACTTATTTGAAAAACCACTAACCACTAGCCATCTGAAAGCGCTCAAGTGGAATATACGCACTGCCCATACCTGTATTATGAGTTAATATTTACGAACAAAGGTGTCAGCTTTGAAAACGAACTTCTTAGCTGTACAACAGCAGCAAACTGAACCTGCTAAAAGTGAAGAAGGCTTTAATCCATCAATTGGATTGGATTATTTGCGCATTCTCTGCACAAATACAAACAGGATGCCACTGCCTCACGCTGTCAAGAAGGCTCTTACGCTTGCGGGTACTGTCGTTGTTTTTTAACTAGATGTTATTAACGTTACTGTGCTGTTATAATTATCACCATCACCACCCCATCTGAAACTGAAAATGATCTCCGCCGGCGTAAGTACACTATCAAGACGGAAAAGACCCGAGGTTTTCAAGAAACTAGCATGCACACGCGCAATCGCGTCCCATTGTGACCACTATCGCGCAGTATTCTCCGTGTTCATCCATTTCTAATAGCGCGCATTGGAAGCAGTCAAGGAACGGCTCCGCTACTCATTGATTTAAGTGCGTTTGTCTCTTTGGACGCGCTTCTTCGCCTCGAAAGAAGAGAGATCTGTGCGTGACGCGCTTCAACAGCCATAAGCATAAATACCAGAATCACATTTAAAAACAAAAGTTTTCACAGTTACCTGTGTGATGCGAATACAAGCGTCAGTCAAGAAAAAGCAGCTGGCTGACAGCACTGACCCTACAGACACAAAGTAACTGGAGATCGAGCACAGCAGGACTTTTCGTGGGCACGAGAAGTTTGCAAACATACCTGTAAAAGCTCTGCACGAAATACCACCGTGGTTGAAAATAGCATCTCTTTACGCGCACGTGTCTTAATGCACATTTAACCCAGGATTTGGAAGTAATTTCCATGCAAGAACAGCAGAGGCGATTTCTTTCATAAATACGACTGTTTCTTGCGCTCACATCACTGCACATGTACATGCAGTATTTATGGGCACACAATACAGCAACCTTTCCCCTGCCGCTCGCAGCTCCCATTTGATAAATGTTATTCGGGTGCTGGCCTATTACACAGTTGCACTTTCATTTATTATGGTGTTGTGCGGCTTTGAATATAAATCAAATCAACAGAAAAAAAAAACATGAATTAAAATGTTCAATGTCTCTGTAAAACAAGAGCCAGTATGCATTCTGGAAAGATTGCTGGTTTCCGCTATTTGCACAGTTACTTTTAGAAATTTGTTGTCGCCTTCAAAGTAATTCCTCCGTTCTAACCTGTGGAGACCCTAGGGGAGTAATAATTTTGCAGTTTACGTGATATACATTCGAGAAAAGCCAAGTGATTTAAACCTGCATACAAAAATAGACAGGTTCCCAATTGGTTAGCCTCTTTTTTTTTTAAAGAGATGGAATAAGAATGCTGTAGGCCTCCGTCACAAGGTATAGCAGTTATTTTCTAAAATATCCTGCATGAATAAGTCATTCTTCATCGTTTTCGCAGTTTTAGGTGACTGAGGTTAGAGGTCAGCCTTAGGAACCACTTATATAGGGATCTGAAGTCACCAGGTACAGCCAATCCCGTGATTTCCCTGTGAGAATCCGAAGAATTTAGCTTCCTGAATTCAATGACTCCGCCCCTTGATGACTCACCCGTTCTTCCAACCGCTACTTTGCTACACAGTTCTTTAGCAAGTGGTGGTGATGGTTGGATTCGCACAGCGGTGCACACAGTCAGTTCCAGCACTCCTTTGCTGCGGAGAAAGCCCACCCGGCTACGTTGCGCTTCATTCTGCCTCTGACGTTTGCCAGGATCCTCACTCCCAACTTTGTGTTGTGCTGGATGACAGTGTTCCTCACATTCCACAGTCCTAGTATTGTGAGGGACACTCACTGCCACGGCACACTGGTAGCTTAGCACTGTTCCTACTCCCAGGAGTCGTACAGTGTTTTCCATTCTTCCCTGCACCACTTTGGTGAAGGGGCAAATCCAGAACATGTGCTCCGTTGTCTCCTGATAAAACACGTGTCCTAGGGGCAGTGTGTGTTCCTGGTCATCAAGTGTCTGCCAAGGTCCTCTCTGGTCACCAGCCTCGGCTGCACAGCCTTCCATTTGAGGTCCTCCAGCTTGTTTTCCAGTTCTTTGAGTTGAGTCCACTCCCAGGTCTCATTTGGGGTTAGCAATTGTGAACCAGTTCCCCCCTCTGCTCCTTGTATAGGGCTCAGTGGTGCAGAGCTCTGGCCATGTCATGGTCTCGTATCTTTGGTTCCTCTTGACAGCGTGGGTGTGGATTCCTGGTTGCTTTTCTGCTTTTGGCCCCGTGTTTGACCACAGGAGCAGGTGCCTCATCAGGAGGGAGAACCACAGCCTGACTAAGTACTAGTAGTTGTGGCTGATCAGGTCCCATAGTGTCACGATCGTGACCCCCTCCTCTTAAGGACGCTCCAGCCCTTCCTTGTTCAGAACTCATCCCCTGCACCTGCCTCCGGTTCCTGCCCCTCGTCCTATAAAAGCCGGGCGCTCACTGTCTTCCGGGCTCTGCACTGGTTTCTGTACCAGGCGAGTCTGGGACCTGGAAGTGCCTGGTCCCGTCAAGCTTTTAAGTTCCTGTTCCTGCCGGTTCCTGTTTTTATTCTGTTTGTCTTGGATGGACCGTCCGGTTTTGGATTTTCGCCTTCTCTTGGATTCCCTCTTGGACGTCTTTCTGGATTGTTTGCCTCGGCCACACCTTCCCCAAACACCAGCGTTCCATGAACACGCCCCCTGTTTTCATTCCCGACTCCCACATGCTTTTTCCCCATGTTTTCCTCACTCTACCCCGGATCATGTCGTCTGCATAGGGTCCTAAAAGAACGCTTCCGTTACACATAGTACCCAAAAGAGGCTGCAGGCACACCATGGCAGGGTAACTAAAGCCACAGGATGTCAGATTTCGGCATCACCTTCCAAGTGAGGGTCAGTGACCATGTTTTCCACAGACACAGCTTTGATTTCACCCTGGCAATCCACTCTGTCCATTCACATGGTTATCTAATACGGGTTGTTCTGTGTGTATTAGAGGATGCAATGCAGTCCATTCCAGCATAGGGAGCGAATTACCCGTTTTCAAAATCTATATTTAAAGATCATGCAGAGTGACAACATTGACACTTCACTTTATTTTCCTGAGGTTGTGATTAAAAGTAGGCTATGACCATTTGTTATTTAATCAACGCTATCGGATAATTGTCTTTCTATCAAAGAAAACAAATTACTCTCATTCAGAAGACTTAAAAGGAAAACGCGTCTTGCAAAGCAAAATATATAAAAAAATCTATTCAATTTAGCATTTGTGACAGCACGTGGATTTCTACGTATCTGACAGGATTCTTTGTCTCTTTGTAAATGTAGTTAACCGATCTAGAAAGGGGCATATTTTCGTTAGTAAATAGCAGTTACTGTTTGGAAGATTTAATATTAACACATGTTCCAGATGGACGAACAAGGAAAAGCTATACAGTGTCTTGATAATAAGGATGCCCAGCTAGTGTAGCTGTTTTTTTTTTCCAAATAGACATCCGAAGGGCGGAACCTAGCGCTAATAGAAAACGAGTCACACGGTCATTTGACGCAGCGCGCAATTCCTGTGCGTCGCTCTAGTGACGCAGAGCGGCGCCTTCACTGTGTCGGGGTGAATTCAGAGCTGGCGATGCTTAAATTTGATTTTTCAGTTATTTTAATAGTTTAATCTGTGAATGGCGCCAAAACAGGACCCTAAGCCTAAATTTCAAGAAGGTAAGGAACGATTTAATCAGTAAAATTTTGGAGTGGAAGCAGGCCTGCGTTTCGCCCTGTGTGTGACTGAGGGGTAGGGCGGCGATTTGCAGTCACTCCACGGTGTTTGTGTAGATAGCAGAACTGAAAACCGCGCTTAAGTAAAGATTAAAACCTTGTTCAAAAAGGAATAAAACTACGAAGGGCCAGGGCGGATTTTTGTTTTTAGCAATTTAGCTAGCGAAATGTTCACTTTCCCAGATTTATTGGGTGCATTTTTCTAAAGGCCTAACATGTATGAGCTAGCTAGTCTTTTTCAAGTAGAGTGATCTATTGTCTTCGTTGAAGAAAAAATAGGCTATAAAATATCTTCTTTTTGTTTGTGTCTGTAATTAGTAATGTAAGGAGAACAATGAGTTTTTCAGCTAAAACTTAAAAGATTTAATTTTGGACTTTGAGTCTTGATTGTCACCGTGTGTTTGAGCGTATTCTTCGTCGAACCCTGCTTGAGAACCATATTTCTTGTCCCTTAAAACAGTCGAATATAATCGATGCTTCTCGTCGTATCTGAAATAAGTTCCGACCTTTACATTAATATCTGTTAGTAATGCTAATTTATGAGCAAATCAGCTTTTCATATATACTTTTCTTAACTTAGGTTTGATAACGTTGCTCTGATAATTCGTCCTTCTTTGGCTAAGGTAATTATTTTAATTTTTTTCTTGATATTTCAGCAAACAATGTTTTACATTTTTTTGCCATGAAGTAAAAAGTTGTAATGTGGAAAAGTCGCGCTTTTTCTTCACATAACGTTTGTATACAGAAATATCACATTGTGCCAGCACGGTGTAACTAAATATAGTTATGTAGCGACTACTTACCTCTTCGAAGCTGTAGCGAGAGAAAGAGAGATGTAGCTTCTTTTGTTGATCTTAACCTGCATGCGATATTCTGACAATTTAAAGGTTCACACCAAGGTATTTCTTCAGAAGCCTCAGTGAGTCGTAGGCCTTCCTGACATGTACCACAGCAAGAGTTTACCAATGGGCACTTAAATCCTTGATTAAAAACAGTACAATAACCCAGATTTGCATTCAAGTCTTGTGGCTTGCCAAAACGTGCCACTTGCGTAGCCCAAAAATCTAGGGTCGGCTCTTTCTTTCTGTTCGATTTGAAACTAAGTGACCTAATACTTTTAAAAGGGGTCCCAGTAAGTGGTTAACCCTCCAGTTTTTTGCGTCTGTGTGAAGAGATCTAGTGTTCTGTGATAGTCTTGCGAACTAAAGTTAACATCAATCAACTTGCAACTAGGAAGCAACAACTGTCTGCTAGATATTAGCAGTGCTTTGTAAACCTTGGTGAGTCTCTGGTACTTAATCACTCTTATAAACATGAAGATACACTAAGGTGTATCTTGTTTTCTTAGCAGTACATTATTTAAACTTGGGAACCATAATAATTAATAATAATAATTGCTTACACTTATATAGCCTTTTCTGGACACTCCACTCAAAGCGCTTTAGAGGTAATGGGGACTCCCCTCCACCACCACCAATGTGCAGCCCCACCTGGATGATGCGACGGCAGCCATAGAGCACTAGTACACTCACTCAGTACACTCAGTAAGGCTTATCCGCATAAGGCTTGCATCAGTTTCCCTATCCTAGTCCAAATGGAAAACTCTTGTGGTTTGTGCTCTGAGTTCTTAATCACAGAACAGTTAATTTATTTTCTGTCTGGGGGCCATTTTTAAATTTGCTTTCAGATTTTAAACGGTCAAATGGAATTTGTAATTGGTGTCAGACCTGTAGTAATGTCTGAAACTCCCTAATTTTCTTGTTTCCTGGAATGTAACCAATCAGATCTCTAGAAAAAGGGGAAAAAGCTCTTAGTGGGAGAGTTTAAGTCAGTGTCATATTTGCTTGTCAGTTCATTATAAATGACTTATTAGGTGTTCAGAGAAAAACAAGTGTAAGCAATTCAGGAGAGGCTCCTTGAAGCTCTGTGCTGACGTTATTGAAAACACTATGCTGTATTTAAAGTAGTGTATGTTTTAAACTCATACCGAAGGCAGAAACAAATTAACGTAAAGTCGTAAGCAATCAAATCAACTAAAGGTAAGAGCATAAGTACAATTACAAATGAAAGCAGGTCCATCGAACCATCTAGCATGAATAGAAACATGGTGGGAACTGCTGGCTAAATGCAATGTGAGTAACCCAAGAAAGAAATGAAATCCAACTAGAAAAACTGTGTAAAAATAAGAAGGCTGCATGATGTTTTAAGACTTAGGTATATTTGTATTGGGTACATTTACTTGAAATATAGTTCTGAATATGGTGTGTGCGTAGCCCATATGGTTAATATTTGTCTTAAGAAATGTACAGGCAGTGTGTCTGTATGTTAGCAGCATAATGATTAGGGTTTTTGTCTCCTGAGTGGAGGGTTATGAGTTCAAATCCAGGGTGTGACTGGTTTTGTACTCTTGAGCAGGTACTTCACTGATAATGCTCCACTAAATGTCCAGCTGTATAGATAAGTCGCCAGGTTTCCACTGGAAGTGAGAATGTTGTGCATGTAATTAGCTGGTGAACTAAAGGAACGAATTATGGTGAAAGGAATGTCTGAGAAGTGCCTGCATGTAGAGGTTTAAATTATGCAGTCTTTCCATCTTGAAGCAGATTACAGTTCACTGTAAGCTATATTAAAATGTGTATGGATGTTTTACAAGTATGTAGTACTGCATCTATACATATATGGAAATTAGACTTTTCTAAACAGACACTGGGATTTAAAAGAACACCAGCCTCATTGATGTCGGCAAGTTTGGTTTCAGTTTGCCGTATATGAAGACGGTATAGAAATTAGACAAGTCAGGGGCCACGGCCTACCTTACTGCACCCTGTCCCTTGTATCATGAGCACAGAGCCTTAAAAATGAGTATAACTGGAACACTTTCAAAAGGATTGATTGAGTTCTTGTTCTGAGTTTTGTGGACATCCCATGAATGAGTTGCAGTCTCTTTTACAAAATGTCCAATTACTTTGCTGTACTACCAAATATTATCTAATTGTTTTATTAATGCTTTGTATTATTCCAAAATAAGGAAGCTTGTTTTATTTACAAACCTAGTTCTTTCCGTCTGCAAATGTACATCTACCATACTAGAGTTTAAGCAGTTTTGTGTGTAGACCACATAAGCAGAATGTCATGTTTTGTTACATGGAAAAATAAAGGTACACACATTTTTGGCAGACAAAAACACATCTGTTTATTGCAGGTGTGCAATATTTAGCTGTTATTGTACTTGAGGTCAGCACACAGCAAATGTCTTGCTACAGCATTATTTTCCTACTTTCTTCTACTTAAAATGTGAGTCTGTAATGAGACTTTCTGAGCACTTTTCTTTTTCTGAACAACTGCAAATTCCAAGTTCCAGAATCTGATTTGTTTTAAGGGACATCATTTCCGTTGTTCTCAAGCAACGTGTGACTGAAACACTAAGTAATGATCAAATTCTGAACCTTACACAGGCAGTGCATCAAAGTAGACCGTTGCCTACAGGAAGTGCCAATCTCTGAAGTTGAAACTGAAATTCTGATGACTGCTGTTACAGATGTATAATCTATACTAGAATGTCTTTCTAAGTCTACATTACAATTTTGTAGAAGATTTTGCAAATTGTTCTTGTGGGATTACAATTACAGTAACTTAATTTGCTAAAAACTGCATTTGATTGTTTTTATCATTCTGCCATCAGAAACAGGAGTCTGTTTTGCCACTATGTTGATAAAATTTCGATCTCAACTTAATCTCAATGAATTTCCCTTTTGCTTTGCAGGTGAACGAGTTCTGTGTTTTCATGGGCCATTGCTCTACGAAGCTAAGGTACGTGTGTTACTGTCATTCTGAATCGTGTTTCTATAATACAAGCTTCATAATAAAAAAAACCCTCTTGTTTTATATTTTAAGTATAAAAGTGATGGTTTTAGGGTCTTAAAGGGGCTTTGTTCTTCAGGATAGTCTACAGAGTTATGAATTTTATTTATGCTAATATAGTTTTATATGCACGTTTCCTGCCCTAATGTGTTGAATGTTAAAGAAAATTGTGAATAATATTAGCTTCTGTAATTATTGTAACATCTTTAGTAGAAACATGACCCTACTCCTAAGCCAGTTCATAATATTGCAAAACAATTACTGTGTGTATGTTACACCTAAGACTTATCTCTTAAGAAGTGTCAGGGTGAGGAATTGGGAATGAGCAGTTTTAAGCACATTGTTACAGAATATGAACTGACAAAGAATTCAATTCTCTTTCATCTTGGGTGGGAGCTTTTTAAAGAAATGATCACAATTATGTTTAGCACTGTGTTCTCATGTCTTTATAACTTGAATGCTCTGTAATAAAGTTTTCTGATATTTTTGTAAAAGTTGAGCTGAGCTAAAAAGTCTGCTACATTAAAAAAGGAAAAGGAAGTATTTTACATAAACATATTACATTGTTTGCACCTTCTAAAATGTATATTTTAAAACCTCAATATCTGACCCACTTCTCACTTGCGTTTCCTTGTGAAGGTACTAGAACATACTATTGTACCACAGCTTAAGCTCTTGTGTGTGAACATTTCAAACCCTTTCAGGCTGACTTTAGATGATTACAATAGATGTGCTATTTTTACAGGTACTTGTGATCTCATAGAGCCTATACGGGTGCATTGTCTTAATTCTTGAAGATCTCAGTGCTGCATTCAATGTTGAAATCATTCATTGGTAGGAGAGTTTTTTACATCTCTGGTCCAGCCCTTAAATGGCTGGAATCTTATCTCATTGAGCATCAACATCTTTATTTATTTTTTTATATTTAGTTCTGAGGTTGGGTTGGTTACACCTGGTGTTCCACAGGGCTTATTACTGGGCCTTCTGCTATTCAGTATATGTTCACCCTTGGTCAAATACAAAAAATTATATACCATTTAGTAACATGAAATACAGTAGGTGATGCTTAACTCCGTCCACACTAAACCTAACACCAAGGTCGTAGTAAGCACAGAGATGACAATTTTTTAAATTATGATAATACATTGGTGGTGGTGTTGGGTTTCTCTCCCCAGCCGAACAAAATCAATGCTGTAGCCTTATCAGTTGATGGCACTTTTCTTGAGTTTTAGTCCAGCATGAAGTATTTAATGGTGATCTTCTCTCCTGTATTGATTTTTTTAATCTTGTGGTGATATTGTAAAGAAGTGTTGCTGGGCTGTGTCCTGTGCTGTCTTTGTCTTGTGGAAAAACTGGTTCATGCATTTATTTATTCTGGGCATCCTTATTAGAATACCCTACTTGCAGCATTCACTACTAAGAGTAACTGCTCTAAAATTATAGTATGTTTAAAATATGGCAGCTAGAATCCTGATTGCACAAGTGATATCACTGTCTTGGAGTCCTTGCATTGGACCAGTTATGTTGATTTAAAAAAATTCTGCTTATGTTCATGACTGGCTTTGCATGGCCCCAGTATCTCGATTTGTATTTTTCTTGGGTGTACATATCTCTTCTGTTCTGTAGGTATTGGGATCCTTTGTTGCTTTACCACAAAGCACTACAAAATCATCCCAAAACATTTGAGTTTCCTTCACATTGTGTGGTTTAATGTCTACCATAAGAGCTTATCACAAAAAAGCCTATCTTTTGTATCAGAATGCACTAGAGTAATTTGATTTTGATGTCAAGGTTTTGTGCTTGTGCAGTATATACATATGCTGTATAATTTATATTGTGAATGTGGAACCATATTACTGATTTACCTTTTGTCTTCTGATTGCAGTGTGTAAAGGTTAATATCAAGGACAAGCAAGTGAAGTACTTCATTCATTACAGCGGATGGAATAAAAAGTGAGTTATTTACTTATTGGTTCTATTGTACGTGCTAATTGTTCCAGCAAGTTTATTCTTTTAAATCTGCTCTGTCTAAAGCTCGGACAAGCATTAGTTCATCCAGACTTTGTCTGCACAAAATGCAATTATTCTTTACATAAAGAATTTTGCATAATTGAAAGGACAACTGTTGAGCTGTTAAATCTTTCCCTTTATAAATGCATGATAATGGAAGCCGGTATAGACATTATTTTTCTATGGCAATTCTTTTTTTCCAGTTGGGATGAATGGGTTCCTGAGAGCAGAGTGCTCAAATATGTGGACACGAATCTACAGAAACAAAAGGAGCTTCAAAAGGCTAATCAGTGAGTTTTTGTGGCATACTTTTTTGTTAAACCAAATGTGGTCTGAAACAGTCTAAGAACTTGTTAATTTCAGTGATAGAATACTATGTCTGAAATATACCAAAATCAAATGGTGACACTACACCATTAATTTTGAACTAGTTCAGGTGGGTAGCTGCGTCGGCATGCGTAGGCTGCAAAGGAACAAGTAATAGGTTTATTCCATGCTGAAAAAAGAAGAAAGAAAATGCAACGTTTCAGCCGTGGAGCCTTCTTCAGGTGTGAGAAACATCCTATGCATATTTGTTACCTTAATAGAAAATTTGTAAAACATCAGTTGGAGTGTAGAGTGGTTTACATGCCTAATACGGCAACTACATTTTATTTCTGTAACATTTTATAACTATTTGCTCGAGCATTAACAATTCAGCATTTCTACAGAGGTCTTCTGTAGATAGCAATAGCAATTATGTCTACATCAGAGATTTTTGACTCTGAATGAATGTTTGAGTAGTTAACATGTTCACCTTCTATGATGTTGGTCTTGGCTTTTAATGCCTCTGTAATTGCTTGCTCCTTTCTTTCCTTAGGGAACAATATGCAGAGGGAAAGATGAGGGGTGTAGCGCCGAGCAAGAAGATTGCTGCTGTGCAGCAAAAAAATGTTGAATTGTGAGTAAAATGTCCCTTTTAATTACTACAAATTGAAAAGCAAATATCCAGCCTTTTTTATCAAAGAAATTCTATTCTTATTAAATATTAGTTGTTTGTACCTTTAACTGTCACTTAAAAGGTCTTTATTGATGCCTTTTGATTTACCAGTGTAGCAGGTCAGATTATGATACTCTGAGGCATTTCAGCGCTTAGATAGATACTTTATTGATCCCGTGAGGGAAATTGCAGTGCAACAGCAGCTTAACACAGACAACACATACAGTACAATAATAATAATAATAATAATAATCATACAATACAATCAGTACAGTGAGGGGTGCACTAAAAGAGTTACTCACAGTCCAGGACACACAAAGAACAAACTAGAACAGAACAGTACGCACTTAAAGAAATCAGTGTGCCTGTGAGAATCTGCTGCCAGGAGGGTAATGGTGTTTGGTTGGGGTAGAGGAGTTGGATGAAGCTCTTTGATGGTGTGGGTTTGTTTAGCTTTATAGAAATGAAGGATTAAGAAAGATTAAGTTCTTGAACTGGAATGGTAAACAAAGCCAGCCTTTACATGTTTACTGTGTTTTTACACTGTTTGATAAGTGATTTGTGTCTATATGTGGTCATAGTTTAAACTGGTTTTGCTGTAAATTAAAAACCCTGGAGTATCACTGGCAGCTATTTTGTGCCGAATCCCAAGGAACAAAATGTTAATGTTCTGGGCTTCAGTTTCAAAACAATAGGATGCTGATCTGTCTGCATCATTACCCACATTAATTTACAGTTTGAACCTGGCAGCTGGTGATCAGGTTGAATCTGGCAGCTGGTGCTTGTTTTAGTCAGTTCAGTGAAGAATTTCTGAAATGAAGCTATCTGACGTCTCTGCAGCTCCCCATTTGCCTGTTTTAAAAACTAGAGTGTGACATCCTGAAATTTGGTGAATCAGCACTCTAGTTGCAGAGGTGATTGGTATACGATGGGCAGGATGTTATGCCTTCATTCATTTTGTTTTCAGTTTTATCTCTGTAGGTCTCAGACATCAGCCAGATGTCAGATACTGACGCTGTCTGTGCTGTGTATCTGGGTGGAATTTTAAATTGATATTGAGTGCAGCTGAGTGAGAGAATAAGGGTCTTCAAAGTTGTACGGCTTCACGGATTAACAATTGATCTTAATGAATATCCCCAGTTGCTTTCTTTACCACCCATGATGTGCTTATCTACTGTTTTTTTTTCTGTGAAACACTCATTTAAGGACTTCTCTAACAGTGTTTAAAACTGATGCTCACTCTTCCGAGGGTAGCATTACAGAAAGTATCCTCTGTGATAGCATTGTACACATACAGTAGCCTCTATAATTTTAATTGATTTCTATTTACAAATTTGGAAATAGAGAAAATACATTGTGATTTTTTTATTTTTAATCTCATGCTTAACTACAACACAACCAACATTTAAATGTTTTCTTGACAAATGTTTTAGCTGCAAATTATGCATCTGTATGTAGAGGTGTTGAAAAAGTATTCAAATAGTAAAAAAAAATGAATCTTGTGGCCTACTGGAAGTAGCTGGTTCGTGTTGGGAAGAATGTTTTTTCTCCATTGCTAATGTTTCTGTTAACCAACATTCATCTTTCGTTCCACAGGAAAACCAAAAAGAACAAGCAGAAAAGTAAGTGTTTTTTGCTTTTCTTGGACTTTTAATGACTTTCCAATTTCCTTTTGTCATAAAGAATAATTAATCTATAATCTATCTAGTTTATCATTTGATTAAAAAATTAGATATGTTTTACATATTAGGTATTAACATTAATTTAAAAAATCGTTATTTTATTACAGCTCTGTATCGCCTGTAGGAAAACGGTCATTAATTGGAAGGTAAAAATAGGTACCCAAGATAACTTTGTCAGAGAAAAACCAAGATTAATTCTGTAAAAAAATTTTATTAGGTAATGCTTTGCTTGCTTGATTGCAGAAAAGCGTTAGTTTTGTGACAGAAATGTACTCACGATTCTGGCATTGACTGTTGTCTGACAGCACCAGGAGCTGGCGAAGGGACCAGCTCTGGGGAGATGCCTCAGCCCCCCAGAAAGAAGAGGGCACGTGTCGACCCTACAGTTGAGAGCGTACGTTTTTTTTGTTTCGTCCAAGATTTTAATCTGTAAAGTCTTTCTAGTATAATCTCTTGGTGGTCTGTAACTCGTTTTATCGATCTCTTGAAGAACAACCTGCTTAAGATACTGGGAAACTGAACAAGAATGTTGAAAATTTCTTTGCAACCAATTTATTTTCATGATGCAAAGCAAGAGGTCCATTAGTACCATGTCAAACAAGAAGAAGAATTTGTTGTTTGTGATTTTTATTCATTCTGAACATAATTCATCTTGGATCTGCTTTTTTGTTTATCCAGTACAGAGCACTAGATAGGGGTCATGCAAATGTGCTTTTAAACTTTTTTTCCCCATGATCTTTACGGCTAAACATGTAAACAGAAAGCACCCCGGCTAGCTCTGTTAGAGCATGAGACCCATAATCTCAGGGTAGTGGGTTCGTGTCCCATGTCGGGTGCCAGGTCCTCCATGTTAGAGGTTGGGCACAAGGCTAACAACCCTGTCCCATAATTAATGTTAAGGTAACCGCAACAGGATGTTGCTGCCCCTGTGTGATGGAAGGCGTAACGGGCGAACATCCATCCATGTAAACAGAACTTCTGTATGATGTTGCTTCACAGCTTTCTCAATATGTAGTAATTTCACCGCACGTCTAGTCTTTTGACAGAATACAAAAGACTTCAGTATGGTTTCTGTTTTTCATAATGGCTAATGATGACAGAGTTTTGAGAATAATAGTTTGTCGCAAACCCTTGCCTGTATTTGCAGGAAGAAACGTTTATAAACCGAGTGGAGGTGAAGGTGAAGATCCCAGAGGAGCTGAAGCCCTGGCTGGTGGATGACTGGGACCTGATCACCCGACAGAAACAGGTGAGGGGGAGCATGTTGATGACCTAGGTGTCACTTCTTCACTGCTCATCCCACTGCGGTTATTCTGTCCACTTTTCTCTCTGGACCGTTGGAAGTGCGGGACTGTTATGTCTGTTTACAGCTGTGAAATGCATACAAGGTGTTTTCCTACTTAGTTTGGAAAGGATCACTGTTGAGAATAATTAAGCTGGAACCCAGGCATGGTTTGGCTGGTTATTCGAAACATCAACAATAAAAATTGTTTTGTATCGGTGTAAGGGTGGTCTTGGCTTAATGGAGGGACAAGGAGTGGGCCGCTTTCCCCTCAAGGTCAAGCAGGTTCACAAGCAAGACAAACCAATCCAGCTGAATAATGCCTGGTCCTCAAATTTCATTCTTATTCTCTTTTTAGAATAATCCAGTCATACTTTTAACCTCATTCTCATTAGTTCAAAAGTCCAGGTTGATAAAAGCTACATGTAGTTCAAAATTAATAAGGAAGAAGTTACAGGTTTATTCCATATTGAAAAGAGAAGAAAGCAAACAACGTTTCGACTGTGGAGCCATTTTCAGATGTGGGATCTCACAACTGAAGAAGGCCCCATGGCTGAAATGTAGCGTTTTCTTTCCTCTCTTTTCAGCATGGATTAAACCTGTTGCTTGTTCCTTTGCAGCCTACGCATGCTGACACAGCTACCCACCTGAACTAGTTCAAAATTAATGGTGTAGTGTCAGGAGGGGTTATTCTGGGTCAAATAGAGCTGCCTTCATGTGTGTGGAGGAGGGGTGAGATGTTGGACCTTCATTAGCTTTGTCCTGGTAACAAAATCTTGTTCACTTTACCTTCCAGCTTTTTCACCTGCCTGCTAAAAAGAATGTTGATTCTGTCTTGGAAGACTATGCAAATTATAAGAAATCAAGAGGAAACTCTGACAATAAGTAAGTGAAGTTAGTCCACTTGTATTTTTCTGTTAACTTGTATATGGTTCAGACTGCTATGTTTGTCTGAAAACATGCATAAGGGTAACTAATGCAATATTTAAAGGTTTCTGAAAGTAGTTTTTCATGTTTGAGGTCATTAGAAAAAAATGTGCTGTTCAGATTGTTAGAAAACAGAAACTAAGAACCAAAAGTTTTAATGTGATGAGCCTTTGGATATTTTAGCAAGAACACGTCTAATTTATTCTGTAAAAGAAATGCTTACGTCAAGTTGTATTAAAAAAGTTTGCCCTGTGGGGGCATTCATTAGGATTTAGAAGGGAAAGCAGTTTTTCTCGGTGTACAGTGAGAAAGTAATGTTGCTGTGGGGGCGAACACATGATTGACTTGGTCATGAGTTGTGTGTTGTGGTTTGTGTCTCTGCCTCCAGTAGGGCTGCAGCGTTGTTGCAGCTGCCCTTGAAAGGCTTTTTCACAATGGCCAGGATTTTTCAACATTCCCTCCCTTTCCGAGTAGGGAGTACGCAGTCAACGAAGTGGTGGCTGGGATCCGGGAATACTTCAACGTGATGCTGGGCACTCAGTTGCTATACAAGTTTGAAAGGCCGCAGTATGCAGAGATACTGGCCGACCACCCCGATGCACCCATGTCGCAGGTCTACGGAGCACCGCACCTTTTAAGGCTTTTTGGTAAGTCTGATAATTCCAGTCATGATTTCAGCTGGAGGTGTAGAACGTCTGCTGCTGTAGGTTTGGTTTTTCTTGGGACCTGAAGTGTGGCATATTTTTTTAGTTTAAAGATTGTCAAGACTGAAGCAGCTGTTTGGCTTGCATCAGGAAGAGGATAATCTGCGTCCATTGTGATTTGCCAGTATGTTATGAAATTATAGAACTGTAGTTTAGCAATGGTTATGTACGTGAGGTGAATATGTTATTTTCATATTATACGTTTTTAGTGATTATTTTAATTTGATGCTGTTAACTTTCTGTTTTTTTTAAACAGGCAGTAACGCTTCTAATGAACACTATTGATGATTCACCTTAATTTGTGTCTTCATTTAAAATGTAAAATGAGCGTGCCTGAAGCATGTTGGCTCCTGTTCTAAGCAAAATGCGAGTTGCTCATTAGTGTTCAACTTTATGAAGGGTCTTTATAAGAGAATTAACTTATGCCTATCATCATTAAGAAGAGAGAAGTAAATAGAATTGAATTTAAATGTATTTAACAAACGCCTACAATGTACGAATCCCATTGAATAAATTATTTCTCATCGGGTACTGAATACATGGACACTGGAAGTTAATGTTCTGAATAGTCTTTCTCGAGGGGTTGCTGTTTCACTCTATTCCAAATCTTTTCCCTCAGATAGCTGTTTTAAGGCAGTCATAGATGCATGCTTTCTTTCTGGACTTCAGAATTCTTTAAAGTTTTTCTCCTTCCCCACATTTCTGCTTTTTTGATGCTTTAGACTTACATAAAAGTAATCGGTTATTTATGTTATGTAATTTCTCAGAAGTGCCTTGTTCAGAGAATCCATCTGAATTTCTCAGAGTGGAGGTGAGGGCAAGTGGTAGAGAGTTTAGTATAGCCAGCTGACCACACATTAGTAGCAGCAGTTATTCCTGTTAACAGAAGCTGAGAAAGTCAAACAGACTGGTATAGCTGTCTATTCATTTGCAGCTTTATGAGCCTGCATTCACTGTGGAGGGTAATTAGATGTAGTTTGATAGGAAGTAAAATTGTCTGCTCACATGGAGGCTAATGCACTATAAAACATGCATTTAAATTAGTTTATTCAATTTAGTAACTAAGCTGTACACATGATTGCTTTTTTTTTCCAACAGTGCGAATTGGAGCAATGCTGGCCTATACACCCCTTGATGAAAAGAGTCTAGCTCTGCTTCTGAACTACCTGCAAGATTTCTTAAAGTAAGCAGTTCTTGGTGAAATCTTTATAAGACTTTTTCTGCTAGGCTAGTTAAACTGCTGCATGATTGAAACTCCTTTTCAAAACTTTATGCATTCAAACTGAAGAATAATAAACTGCACTAGATATGGCCCCCTAAGTTAGTCTTGTTTGCATCTGCCATGCTCTGTAAAGAACATCCTAGCTGAAGTTTTGTCTAAAATACCGTTGTTTACAGGATCATGAGATGAAGCAAAGATTTAGTACCTCAGTTTGCCTTGTAATGAGAATTGATGAGAAAAGGGGGTTTTAAAGCAGAGTTGAATCTTCAGCTAGTAATAAGTTGAATTACTCATCAGAGCAAATTTTGTTAGCTTTTTGAGGTGTCATCACTTCTGTGCGTCATTACTGTTTAGTCTAGCAGAATATTCAGCTTCGGAAGAAAATATACAGTATTTTATCCATATAACAGCTTTATTTTTTTTGGGTAAGCATACCAGTTGGATTTGTACAAAGAAATTGCAGTTAGTATGTGGTCATCCTCTATAATTGAAAAGGGGGGTTGGGAAAGCATGGAGTCATCTTCCTAAATCCCACTGACCCATTATTTTTCATATTTAGCTTTTTGTGGAAAAAATATACAGCTTTGTATTGTTCAAGGTAGTGAAGGTATTGTTTACCTCTTCAAAGTAATACGGCTGTCTGATAGAACTCAAGAGGGCTGTGACCATTTTGTTTTGTGACTGTGTCAAAGAGCAAGACCCTTTAAGGTTAGTTAATGACCTCCTCTCTTATGTGCCTGAGTAGGTAAAAAACTAGTTTCCCTTCTTTGTGAAGAACACTGCAGTGGAGCACATGCATGGGAAAGCCGCATGCACCTGAGACCATTGTCCTTGTATGTTCACTTGAATTCCAATAGCTTTGGATATTTAAAAAAGTAAATCGATGTGTTCTGTCTGTCAAAGTGTTTTCATTTGTTGCCTTTAACACCTATTGAGATTTTTCTCTGGGCCTTTAAGTTGGTGCTGAAATTAAGACAATTTAGTGTTGTAACTGGAGGAACTTCCATTATTCATTTCCTGAAAGGAAGGCTGTTTGATTGAAAAGGCTTCATTGTCTAAACATAGCAAAATAATCTTCCTGCCTGAATATTACTACACACCTAATTTGAGCTTATAACATTTTTGAAAGCAGTTGTTTGAATACAAAAATAATATATTCTTGGAGAAGTATAATAGAGTGTAATTTTAAGTAATGAATCTTTAAAAGTATCACAATTTATCTCAATTATTTCTTTCAATGTTGCACTGGCAGGGTAGCAAATGATTGCGTGCCAGTTTATTGCCACCTCTGTAGGAGTTCATAAGGAACAGCTTTTGAGTAATCTTCTTAAGAACCATGGTGCTTTACAAAGTTCTTTTGCTCTCCATCAATTTTCCTTTAATGGAATCCCATTCATAGCTTTATTTTTTTGTATTGCAGGTATCTAGTGAAGAATGGCTCTGCTCTATTTAGTGCCAGTGACTATGAAGTAGCTCCTCCAGAATACCACAGGAAAGCGGTTTGATCCTGTCTGATCATGATGGTTTTTTGAGGATCTTTGTTGTGGATGCAAGTACATATGTTTCTCACCTCCAGTGTTTTCTAGACCACAGGTAATGGTTTTGACCTTTGAAAACACCTTCACGGAGGAAAAAGACATTAAATCAAGGTCGGGCACTGGCCTAGAAGAGTGTGCTGGATAGTGTGACATAACTTCAGTGATGTGCAGACCTCCAGTGTGTCCGCTGATGGCTGTTGCAAGGTTTGGCCGACTAATGGAAATTGGCATTTTCTGTCACTATTAGTTGGACTATTTACACGTCCACCTCGTAAAATTTCACACCGTTATCTTGGAAATGTATCATTTACTGCTGTTCTGAAACCAGCAAAGAACTTTGTCTATTTCTTTCATACACTTTTCGCTCATAAAAGTGTGGTGCGAAACCAAGGACTTCACCGTGATACAATTAAAAGGGATTTTTATCAAGACACCAGATACACTTTTTGATGACAGTTGTGATACTGTATATAATAAAACATTGATACTTGTTTCTCATGTGTAAGTTCTGCTTCATGTCAGTTTTGTGTTTAGTGTGTGATTGGTTTCAAAGGCTCTGCTTCTCTGATTTTTGGGCATAGTGAAAAAGGACTAAGGAACTTTGGTCAAAACCCCAAATCCTGAGGCTGGCCTCGCCATTGGCTACTCCCGTATAAGGACTGCTGTCATACGTCTCCTTCTCTTCCCCGTTTCTGTCTTTCCTTTGTCCCCCTCTAGAAAGACTAAACTGGTTGGGATGTGAGTCAGAACAAGGCTGAGGCGGAGGGGACTGTTTGTCAATTCTTGTTTTTCTGATCACTCCAAACATGCCCACCATGGCAGATGCACTGTCTATTGTGTTTCTTTTCTTCCTCTTCAGTCCCAACCAGCTCAATTAACACGTGATCTGTAGAAGGTTGCTAAAACGTTACTTACCAGGGAGTGTAACCAGAGAGTATTATTATGATTAAGTTCATTTTTTCCCAGTGTTGTCATAACACCTTTTCAAGTGTGAGCACTGCAATGTCTGATTCAAACTCAGTAATTCTACTTGGCATTTCCAGATGATATTCTGCAGTTCATCACTTATGTCAAAGCATTCCCTGTTCTATTAATTGAAAATACTTTGCCATCTATACTAAACTCTGGTTCAGACCTGCTGTTGAGAATAGAGATCACTCACTGGCTAAATACCCAAGTTTTAATTTTTCAGTTACTTAAGGTAAATATCAGTTAATAAGGTGGCTGTTTACTCTATAAAGAATAAACAAGTTCAACAGTAGTGTGCTTCTTTTCCAGCAAAAGATGAAAAAAGACCCTGTTATGATTTTTAAATTGATTTAAAATCTACTTAAAGGACTACATGGCAATGGTACTGTCATTTATGGCACTGACACCCATTTCAGTCTGCATTAATGCTGAGTTAAGTGTTAGGCTGTAAAGCTTTGTACTGTGTAAATGGTGGATGTAAAGGAAATTTCAAGAAGAACTTTCATGAGGTGCTGTAATACTATGTTGCAAAGCTGTTTGTATCTAAATGTTTTTTAAAATATGTTCTTTGTAAATGTTTTCTTTGTTCCAAAGTCTGTTTTGACTTTGGTTAGGACTGAAACTTGTTATAATTGATTTCTTCACAGCATTTTTCTTTCTTGTATATAAACATTGTAAATAAACTTTCACCTGAATGCTTAAATGGAAATTAATTTTGATTTAAGGTGCAAGACTTTTTCTAAAACACTTAAAGGCACTTAGTCAGTTTTCTGCCCATTCCTTAATGCCTCGAATGTCACCAGAAGCAAGGTGTGGGGCCATTGGCATGCTGCAGGCAGGCATGTCATGTGCCAGCGTTGCCGGATACTTTGGAGTAAGGTGCTCCACTGTGTCCCAACTGCAGAGAAGGTTTCAGCAGACTGGCAGGACAGATGACCATCCAAGACCCGGTTGCCCTCGAGTGACCACACCAGAGCAGGACCGACACATCAGACTGGTCCATCTGAGAGATTGTTTCAAATCTGCCACCTGTACTGCTGCTGACACTGCCGGCAGACATAATGCCCGCCTCAGTGACAAGACAGTGAGGCTCCATGCTGCTGGCCTTAGAGCAAGGCCACCTGTCAGAGGCCCTCTGCTCACCTCCTAGACCTCATACCAAACTGGCTTGGGCCAGACGGAGGCTGCGATGGACTCGTCAGAAGTGGCATCGGGTCCTCTTCACGGCTGAATCTCTCTGCCGCCAGTTCCATGCAGAACTGTGGTGTGTGTGGAGAAGGTTGTGTTGCATTTCTTTTTTCCATCAGTGTATATATACAGTATATAGCAATAAGTTATTGTGAATTTGCTTTTATTGTGGGATTTTGTAGCCAAACAACAGTAAAACCACTTATCAGGTTTAAATGGCAGAAGATACCTTTCTCTAGAGGGTGCAATGCTCAGTTTAATGCCAGTTATTGAAAAGGATGGTTACATTGTCAGTGAATGATCCTTACTTAATTTTTGCAGTTAAATTTACATTTACATTTAAAACTTCTCAACTAAGCTGAAAGCTTGCAACACTGAAATTTTGTAAGTTAGTGTTTTTCCTAAGGCTTGCCAATGTTGTAGGTCCATAAAAATCATTCTCTCAGAAGAGATTGTTAAAAAGAAAGGGTACTTTAAAGATAAAATCAAAAGGAGGAATGATTCTTTACCTATGATGTCATTCTTTTTGGACATTATTCTGATGTACATTATTATTGGATGAAAGATCTGGGGTATTCTGAGATTTATAACTCCATGTCAAGTTCATTATTTTAATTTCCCCAGGATTTCTCCAAAGGGCTTAAACTGCCTTCCCCAGCTTTGCAGGCTGAGATAAAGGCTGTTATCGCATTTGATTTTTTTTTCCTTTCTGTGGGTAAATTGACATTAACCTTGCTTGAAAGATGTTTATCTCTGTGAATTTGATCAGTTTAAAGAAACCACCTTTATGAAATGTTTTGTGGATTTTCCACTCTGCAGGTAATTTATTTAACTCCTGTTAGGGCAAACCCAAATGTTTTGGGGTTTCCAGACTTGCTCTTCAGTCAAGAGGAACCTCAGTACAGATTAATGCCCTGGCTTTGAGTTACCTTTTCTGTCACTTTGATTCACGAGAGCTTAAGTGCCATCTCCATCCACGCAGCTGCCTTGTTCATACATCTCTGAATTGGTTTCATTACTCTGCTCTCCTCCCCACTAATAGCTGATGTTTGGTGAGTGTTCTGGCGCACTATGGCTGCTGTGCATTGGTGGTGGTGGAGGAGAGTCCCCATTACCTGTTAAGTGCTTTGCATGGAGTGTCCAGAAAAGTGCTATATAAGTGTAAGCAATTATTATTATTAATTATTATTTAGATGGCTGTTGTGGTTGAAGCAATGTTTGAACACAGCCTCTAACCCTATTGGCTCCAGCTCCCACTCCAGCAAGCCCCAGGCCCTCTTGTTTTTACAGGTGTCTTCATGGAGAGGCTGTTTTACTAAGTTGAGGGTTTGATTAAGCAATTGAGAGCTCTGTCCGAAGGTGACCATGGCTCTCGAGACCTTTGCTGGAGGGTCCCTGCTCTAAACACAAGAAACGTTTCTCTTAAGTAAAAAGGTTAAGGACATAGATTTACGAATCTTGAATACAGTAGTTTTCCAGTGGATTTAGTATGCTATTTGTCAGAAATAACTAAGTACTCTTATAGCATACTGACATAATGTGATCTGTTAATTTCTCACGTCTCTACTTGATCTGCCATGTAATATAGCAGCTGCTTCAGTGGGTCCCTTCCTACATGTGAATTACTTTGAGATTAAATAAAGTTAATGTTAATGCAAGCAATTCTTGCTATTAATTGTTCATAGACTGCCTGCTGCGTTTATATCCAGCAAGAAGCCTTTTGTTCTAAATTCTTGTTTAGAAATCAATTTAGTCCTTAAATGCATTACGTTTGAGTTTTTGTTGAATGTAACCATAAAAACAAAAGGCAGCTTGCCATCACTCATCAGCCATCACTCCTGCAAAACCGATACTGCCTTGCTCCTGCAGACAACAGTGATGTTACCCAGTACTGCCTGGATCACCTTGTAACTAACTGAAATGTGTGGCTAGAGATTAGTGTGCAAGAGCCCCAGCTTTTTTTTGCCTGCAGCTCAGTTATCGATGCCATATTGTGAGGTGTAGATAAGTGGGAATGTCGGAAGAGTAATGCAGGACTCTCTTCTGTCTTTTGCCTGTGGATTGTATTTATCAGTTCTGATAGCTTCTTGAGCCTGCAGGATCCAACTAGAAAGCATCAGGGATTATAGCCACTCTAAACAGCTTGCTTTGAACACATTTATTGTCATATTTATTAAGGTATGGGACATTCTCCAATTTCATTAAAAATGTGTATTTTTCTGTTGTTTTCCACAGACTCCTTATCCGTGCAAGGTGCCTTACCTGTCCTTAATAGTTTTACATTTCTATTACATGTGTAGAACTGTGATCATTCCAATGTTTGTATCTATTTTCATATGGAAAAATACTGTACAATTGTATTAATGATTTATAAAAAAAAGTGTCCAAAGTCAAGGGTCAAAACTTGTGGCTCAAGGGACACTGGTCTTTCTTCATGATCAATGGTGAAATTAGAAAGCTTAAAGTTCACTAAGCAACTCAATCGATGCTGTGATGATCCAAGAAACTGGATCGTTAAAATGAACAGGAAGCCTTTGTAAGCATCAGAATGAAAGAGGAGAGGGCTTTATTAAGTGAACAACACAGCGCATACAAAAACAAAAGAAAATAATTAGTCTTTATTGCTCTGAACCTAAAGACGGTTACTGTTACACTGACTTAGCTCTGATTGCCCTGTTCTGTTTAGCTCCTGTTGGAATAACTGGCAAGATGATAGATTCTCAGGTGTACAAGGTGCAGCCCAACAATCCCTATACATACAGTACGTAAAGAAAGTCTTGTACGTTATTTTTACTTATGCTGTAGCGACACTGTGCAAGAACTGTGAAAAATGGAACGCGAATGTAATTTCAACACAAATGGCAATTTAAGAGCAAAATCTAAACACAATTTGGATTTAAAAAGCAGTATATTGATCTTTCTGTGCCACAGAGAGGCTAAACTGAGGGAATGCATGCCTAGTCCTGTAAAGTGCCTGCAGGGCTATAAAGTGAAAGAGTTGTTTTGTCCGTTGAAACATTTGATGAAATAGCTTCTGGGCAATTTCAGTCTGGTGTTATTATTCCTATTCCATTCAACATTTACTAAACAGAGGAGTCCTGTGGAAGCCATGTGTGTTAAAGGTAGAACACCACACAAACAGGAAATGTGTGCTGTGCCTGAGCTCATTAAATAGCACAGATTTATTTTTCCTTATTTTACAAGACATCTTTCAAGTAGATTTGGGCAGACCCCCAACCACAACAGACTACAGTTTCATTGGAATATTGGTGCAAAATTATATTCATAAAAGGAGAATCTTCAGAAAGAATAGCAGAAGAGGGGGTCCACTGTACAGTACATGCTGTCAGATAAATTTAATTTCTGGTTTGTGCTGGTGGGTTTCAGATGGTTATCCCATTGGGAGATCGGGTAATCAATAAATCAGGCACAGTGTTGAGCTGTCTAGTCTCTTCTGAAGTTTTAAAATCTGAATTTTATTGATAGTTACGTGAAGCAGTATTTATATAAATACTTCATGTATGCATTTAATCCCACACTGCCTTCAGGGCTTTCTTCAGACCTGAAGATGAGGTGCCTGTATGAATGATGAGTGTTGGTATGAGCAACAGGAAATTCTAACCCACACTAACGGGGGCTGGAAAAGTTCCCCTTGGGGAGGTTTCGAGGCTGCTGGAAAAACCACGCATTCTTTTGTTACTCTGGCACTGGGCTGTCAATGTTTTTCCAGACAACTGGCAAGTGTTCAGGTTTCAAAAGACATTTAATGGCATTAAAACACATGATCTAAATAAATATTCCTCGTGGCTTAGTTCTGGATGCTGTTGGCTGTTTTCAGTGGATTCTAGTTTGGTGGCTAGTTTCTGAATTCATTTACGTGAGTTTAAAGACGAAATATTTGAAATAATGGGAGGAAAATACCGGATTAAATGCAAGACCAAACTGGAAAAAATTTTTCTTTATACTCCAAAAAAAGAAGACAACATATCAATGTTCCAGGCACTGAGTGTAGAAACTGCATCATGAAGTCCTGGATTGCTGTTCCTTTGAAGCTTCTTTTTCATTTTCTAAATATTTAGGTTCTGTATTATCTGGGGTTTGTGGGACCTCCTGATCAAGCCTTCTTGTCAAACTAAGGAAAGTTGTGCTGTACAACTGAAATTAAAAGCGGGAAGGATCTTTGAAATGAGGCTGAATAGGTAGTCTAAGTGCTTAGAAACTGAGAAAAGGTAGGGAAATTCATTGCTTTTAGCATACTGCTGATAAGAGGCTTCATATTCAATGTTGCAATTTATTTTTTGTGATATGGTTTAAGCAGCTGACAGAGGCTAATAACTAACAGACAAAATGTGCCATTAAAGATCCAAATTGTACATCCCATGATATGATGTCATTATGGTGTGATTTTGATTGCTCTTCCCTTTCTGCTCTTTCAGTTTAAAGTGGGAAGGTACTCCATTTTCACCTGAAAACATCATTAAACTAGGAAAAAGGATTCTGGGAACCTGCCTGGAA